GGATTCGTGCAGTTTTTTGGCAGGCCTAAACGACCTTGCGAAGCCCAGTTCATAGATCCCTAGAAGTCCTACATCCGCCGCAGTGACCAGGCCTCAGAGGCCAGCCGCCCGGGCCTGCCGCGGCGTGGTCGCTGGGACTTCGCTTCAGGAACTTTGGGTTTCGGGGTTTAGGGTTTTAGGGTTTGGGGGTTTAGGGGTTTTAGGGGTTTTAGGGTTTTAGGGTTTCGGGGTGTAGGGTTTGGGGGCTTAGGGTTTAGGGGTCTAGGTTTAGGGGTTCAGGGTTTGGGGTTTCTGAGCAGGTAGCCTTTCAAGGGATCCTGAAAGGGTTCTTTAAGGGATCTAGTTTAGGGATTTATACGTTGGCACCTAAGTGAAAGTTGGGAGCATTGGGCTTCCTGAAAGAAAGAGTTGGGGTGCATACTGCGGTGTGTTCATAGTATATTACCGTATCTTATCTTATATACGGTATGTTCATAGTGCATTAGTAAAAGATCTGAATGTCATCGTTTGCGATCTCAAGGCCTTCACCACACGGGTCGACGACTTTGCCACGAGCTTCCCTGAGTACTCGTGCAGCACTTGTATAAGGCGCATGGCAGACCGATGCTAAAATCTGGGGACCTTTCTCCACGATTGTGCTGGTGGAGGAGCCAGAGGTCAAGCACCTGCAACTGGCTGCTGCAACATCTGTATATTCCATCTTCATTGTTCTCTCCGGTGCACTCGAGTTTCAACTGTTGGCCCGCGCTACTCAAGTGGCTGGTGCTGGCACCGTGATTGCTACAGACTACTTGCTATCGGGTGGTCAGGTGGCACGCGCTCTGCCGGACACCAGGTTCTTGTGGACCACTGTCCCGGATTTTGTTCTTCGCAGCGTACAAGACCAAGACTTACTAGTAAGGAGCCCTAAGGCATAATATTGGGCTCTATAAGGGTCGGGTTGTAGGAGGGTTTGTTGCGTGGCTCAGAGGGCTTTTGGGCTGCAAGAATTCAGGGAGTCAGGGCTTCGTTCTGGGTGCGGTTGACTACATCCTTTTATGCCTAGTAGTAGAGTAGGTAACCTTTAGCCTTTTTTGGGTAGTATAGTCCCTATATAGTCCCTATATAACCAAAAAGGCTAACCTTTAGTTCCCCATGATACCCGACAAGTAGGTATGTGTTGGGCTTGCAGGGTCGGTTATTGGGTTTTAGGGCTGCAGGCTGTAGGGTCTCAAATTGAATCCGTAAACTGTTGCCAGGGAAGGGCTGTAGGCTCGTGGGGGTTTCGGGTTGAAGGTTTATGGATGAAGTTTCACAGAGCCCAAACCCGATTTAACAGGAGATGTATCTACTCATGCGCCCTTTCTTCAAGTTGCAATACTAAGTCCTTCCTGTAGGGCTCTGCGAAAGAAACGTTGTCCAACAGAGCCAAACCTGTACTACGGTTCAGGGTCCAGGTAGAGGCGTTCAAGGAGTTGGGAGTTTTGGCATTAGTCGTGAGTGCTCAAAACGCCCCCAAACCCAAAACCTCGAAACACCCCTCCTGGTTTGCTGGGTTTTTGCCGATGACCTTGCTGATTTGTCGGAAAATTAACCCTGCAACCTGATTATCCCAAAGTCGACCCAGCAAAGCCCTAAAGCACCAAGCCCAAAACGCGGAAACCCTGTAATTTAGGGTAGGGGTTTAGGGTTAGGGGTTTAGAGTTAGGGGTTTAGGGTTTCGAGGTTTAGGGTTTGGGGTTTCGGAGTTTAGGGTTAAGGGTAGGGTTTCGGAGCCCTTGGGCTTAAGGTTCCCGGCAGCCGGAATGCTGCGCTGCACTGCCCCTGCTGCCAAGCCTGGGTCCTGGGAAGTTCCTCGGCTTGCCGTTATCGCTAGTATTGCATATTTTATTGTTCAATATTTGTTCATGAATGTTATCACTTTTCAGTTGTTATTGTGATGAGCATTACTACTGTTATTGTTTGTTTTTGGTATTCTTACTGCTCGTGTTTGTTTCCATTTTGCTGGGGAGGTGGGTTAGATTTTAAGGTTTAGGGTTGCTTTGTCTAGGCTTAGGGGGCAAGTATGGGGTAGTGTCAAGATGGTGGCGTGTTTGCAGCAGGTTTGTGCAATATGCTGCTATGCACGGGGTTTCCTCAGGCATTTGCTCTGGAGTTGCGCTTCAGGCTACTATGGCCTTTGGGGGGGTATAAGTTTCAGAACTTCCTGGGAGTTGGGAGGATGAAGGTTTGTCTGTTTAGGCTCGTGGCATTAGGCTACACATACCCGATTGGTGTTTTTGGTCTTCTTAATTATTGGAATCAGATGGTTCTTCAGATCCCAGCCACCCAAGAGGTTTAGGGAAAGGGTGTTTAGGGTTTAGGGTTTGTGTTCTCTCTTTTAGCTGCGACCCATAATGTTCAACATTTCGTTCAGGAGCAGTGTTCACAGAAACTGATAAATTAAAGGTCAACTCAAGCCGACCATCCTCAGCACGAGCCCCTGGACGAATGACCCTGAACCGCAAATCCTGGACCCCCTCAACTTTGAAGCTTTTCGGGCTAGGGATTTGGGTTTTCTCGGTTTCGGGCTCCATGCGGTCATAGTATTGTATGTCGTCCGCGTCAGGAGATAGGGCTATCTCCGTAAACCAAGTCCCCGTTAGGGTCCCCGAAAGGTTGCGACTTTGATGAAGATGAAACGAAGTGGATCCCAGTTTGGAAACTTACCCGTGTCGGTGTCATAGGTGGGTAACATTGTTACATGTTTGTGGGTACTTAACCGCTTTAACCCCGATAAGGAGTGGATATTCCAACGCCATTACTATCCCAACCATGAACCAGACGTAGTAGGAAATTTAGGGGCTTCCCTGTTATGCCAGCTCGGGAGCAAAAGACTACGACAGGCTGCGCAGTGGCTTAGTGCAAGTGCGTGTTCCATTGTGCGATCTCAGGAGAGATGGACCAATTCATCGTCGACGATTTTCATGACAATCGTCCCCAAGCTGCCTTGGCCTTTAAGAGTTGTAGAACCTTGATAACCAATGGGAGAACTTGACATTTTTTGACCATACATATATATATATATATATATATATATATACATATATATATATATATACATATATATATATATATATATATATATATATCTGTGTGGGTTTTTGCTATATCTTAGAAAATTTCAACGTTTTTGGCGCCGCTTATTGAAGAAGGGAGAGAAGGCTGAGGGGTTTCATGCCATTCAAAACCACATTAGCAGACACTTTTGGGTGCTTTTGGGCCATGGGTCCCTCAGGCGGTTTTGTCACTGCTTTGGTCTTTAACATGTAGGGTTTGGTGTGTAGTGTTCGGGCTTTAGGATCATGGGGTTCCTTGGTTCTAGGGATTCTAAGGTTTATTGTTTCTGCGTTTGGGTCAACGGGTGACGTCCGCTAACCGTCGGGCTTTTCCGCAACCCAAATTCCAAAACTTGGACCCGATGCCCGAACAGACTAAGCCCCAAGACCTCAAGTAAGTTAGGTGGGCAAGCAGCGTCCAAACGAAGGCTTTGAGAAATGAGGCACCCCTCACAGCCGTTCTCCTGAACCCCTTCGAGCACCTCTAAGCGACACGTGCCACCGCGAAAGTCCTTAACCCTAAACCCCCTTCCCAGCCGTGCTGCTAAGGCAAGCTCTATCGCTTCCTCAAGAATAACGACCGTTGAATCCGTTTAATCTTCGCAGCGAGCCCTCTTTTCAAGAAGGAGGTTTGGGGCTTTCAGGCTTGAGACTCTTTAAAGCAGAATTGGTTGCTGCACGTGTTGCTTTATGGCAAGGTGGTCCAGGAATCCTAGCTTAAGATTCACTTTTTGTTGGGTTCATAGTATTGCAAAGACTGCGGAGTTACTACTGCTATTGATTACTGACTTACTTACTACTGGACCAACCTACCTACCTACCTCGCACACGACCACGACCACGACGACGACTACGACGACGACTACTACTTGTCAGAGCAGTCGTCGTCATCTTTTCAAGAGTAGGTATAATGCTGGCGCCAACTTTGTAGTAGTCGTAGTAGCGATGCCGTAGTAGTAGCAGCGGCAGCAGCAGTTGTGGCTCATTCAGCAGATGCAAGAATCAGGTTCGGAATTTCAATGACAACCCTGTAGTTTGACGTTAACATGAACCAGCGAACCACAGGTGGCACCTATATAGGACAGTAGTTCATCATGGACCTCACAGTGCAAAAGAGCTAGGCACTGTGCCGTTTTGCAAAGGCATTCGGTGATCGTGGCTTCCCAACTTTGATCCCTAAACCTCCATCTCCACGATCCACAGAAATCTTTGTGGAATGTGGGGGGCTTGAGTGGCTACCGCCCCTGTCAGATTTGTTTCACTCCGTCTCAAAAGCAGCCCGCTGCTGGCAAAGCCAAGCTCGGTAACTCGAACTGAACCTCTTATGTCGAGGTTCGTGGGCACTTGAGGACGGTTCAACCAAGCATCACAGAAGGCGCTTCAAAGTTGAGTTGACTAACCTCCCCCTGCTTCTACAGCCTTAACTGCAAGCCGTAACAAGGAGATCGGGATCAGAATGGAGACGCTAAGCCCCAAAGACAAAGCCTTAACCCCTCAGTCTCTAAGCATAAAATGAAAGGGCGCATGCAGGATCAAAGTGGAGTCTCTGGTGGCACGGTACCGTCCGTAGCTTTGGCGGCTCAAGCCCGCAAAACGGCAGCAAAGGGCTTCAAGCACAGTCCAAAGTTGTAGCATTTATGGTCGATACCATTGGTCGTAGACTGGAGGCTAAAGTGGGAGATCATCAAACACTGACTTGGAGCGACTTGAGCGGTCGAGCATGCTGGAAACCATGAGTTCGTGACCTCAGACAATGTCGTAAGATTGAACGTGGGGTTCTCCGTTTATGGCTATTGCTCTCCATTATCTGTTAGCAGATCTTACGAGAGATAGCGTAGAACCCTTCTTTGCGCACTGTTTTGATAGTGTCTCCGCAGACTGCCTATTGCTGGAGCTTGCCGGCTCCACAAGGGGACGGCAGTGATGCCCAGCGCCGGCCTCTGGGGACTTTGCGGGGTGTAGGCTGTGTTAGGGGTCTGGGTTTCAGGGTTGAGGATTTAGGGTAAACTCCAGGTAGTCCAAGGTGGGTACTCATTTCTGACATAGGGTTTAGGGTGTAGGGTTTAAGGGTTAGGGGGTATGCAGTATTCTCCATCTTTGTACTTGGAGTCTAGGGCACGAGAGAATTTGAGCACTGTCAAACGATGCCGAGGTCTCACAAATCTCAACGTCCTGTCGACACAGTTGCGTATAAGTAACACAGGGCTACTCTGAACAGTCGATGTCGGCCGTTGTGGCTCTGTCCAGCACAGGCAAAGACAGTTCCATTCCTCGTCGTCTTTGTCATCGTCATCGCGTCTTTACAGCATGGGAAAGAGATCCTAAAATCGTAATCTCTAAACTGCCTGGGCTACGTAGCCCCGTATTAAAGCATCCCGTAGAATAACCTGGATAGCACCCCTTTAAAGAACCCGAGGACCCGATCAACCCCAGACCGTATGCCAAGCCCTCTAGACCCTAGACCCCCAAACCCCTGAATCCCTGAAAAAACTAAGCGCTAAATCCTAAAGCCCAACAGCCCCCCCCTCTAAACCCCAAACCCGAGATGCTTCTACATCTTTGCCCTTTCGATGAGGCAATGGGATCTTCCAGGTCATGTCGGGCATCGCCTTGCCGGCAGAGCTTTAGGGTTTAAGTTCGACTTCTTTTGAAGCGGTCTATAGGGTATTATAAGGGGTTTAGGGCTTAGGGGTTCTGGTGGTTTAGGGTTTCAGGGCTTTTTGAGGGTCGTGGGAATTTGTTGGCTGCTCCAGGGGTTTTGGAGGCAAAACGTAGGGTGTGCATCCTGACTGGGATATGGTAGAATCCGATCCCTAAATCAACAAGGCAACTCACATGAGGTTGTTGCAGGCCAAAAAGCTATCTACTCTACAAACCTGCCGCCTCTCGAGCATAAAGCCTGAATCCCTAAACCTCAAGCCCTGTCCTTGAACTCTGAGCGCTACAGTCGCCCTAGTCCCCAAAGCGTCAGCTCCAAAATCCTAAACTTCAGCATATCAGAGCGCATTCGGGAGTTGTCATCCCTAGCTGATTTTGTAAGCCGCTTCTCGGTGCGGCTCATTGCTTTGTTTTTGGGTCTACAAGGTTCGGGGAGCTTGAGAAAGCTAGGGACTCCAAAATCCTTACCTGAACCTATTGGCCTTCCCGAGCTGATCGCTCAAAGTCTCGAGCCTCCAGGCTCAAAGCTCATAGGAGGCCAAAAGGGGTTTGAGCCTATGGGGGTTTAGTAGGGATTAGGGTTCCCGTAAAAGGGTTCATATCAAGGAATCCCTGCCCCAAGAATCTTAAGCCCCCCAGATCCAAGAGTCTTTGCCGCAAGCTCGACGAGATTCTGGGAAGAGTCGACTTTGAAGCTTCCAGTAGGGACAATACGGAGCTAGGTTGGATTTTGGGACATTTGTTATTTTCCTTATTTGGGTTTAGAAGGGCCCTAAATATATATATATATATATATATATATATTATATAAATATGTTTCAGGGTGTTTAAAGGCGAACCCATGGAGAGGTTCACCAGCTCATACAACGAGCTCCGCGAAGTCATCTCCAGCTTCCAAAAATGTTTTCGGGCGGTTCAAGAACATGAGTATGCCAGGACCCTCCTTGTTCCCTCAAATAAGGGTATATGGTCCCAAATAATGGGTACTTAGGGTCTATAGAGTGTAGATGGAGGGTCCAGGTACTCTCTCCTGATCCCCTCGCCGAGGACCTCTTTCGAAAGAAACTGCGCTCAATGGGCGGAAACCAGCGGAAGGAGTCACGTCGACCACCCTTGCGATGCATTTCTAAGAAAATGATCTGGTTCCTAGTTTTATTTCTGGATGTTGGCATCAAGTCTAATTATAAGGACTCCAAAGCAAGGTACCCCTAATGTCGGAAACTCCCATCTGGAGTCCACACTAGTCTCTTGTCCCTCCGTAGCGACGCCGTCACACTGCTTAGCTTGATTTGCCAATCTCGTGTTTAGCTCACACCTCACTAAACCCTACAGCCTCAACCCTAAGCCGTGACCTCAAGTCGGCGCTGAAGCTGCAAACAGACTAGTTGATGCTCAGATTCACTTGTCCTTTGCATTTGGTCCCCAGCCGTTCTCGTGCCAGGTGGGGGCCACACCCGATGCCACGGGCCGCATGGAAAAGTTCACTGAACTTGTCGGGAACTTAAGCAGACGGCTTTTCAGGTTTCAGATACCCTGAGGGGCTCCTTGGCGTCAAGGTGTTTAGGACTTGGTGTCTTGGGTATAGGCAAACTATCATGTTTACGCAGAAGATGCGAGGGTTCAGAGTTTACGTAAGGTTGGTTCTTTCGGGGTTCCTTATAATGTACACCACAACTCTGCTCGCAGCACCCTTTCCGGTGAGAACCGCAATGTCGTTTCGTTTCTCATTAATGAGTGGGCTATCATCGCTTGAAGATCCTCTGCAACACGGCGCAGCCCGACTTAATCTCGCACGGCAGCGCATGAAGAAGACAGACCTGTCGCAGAGGGACCGCCGGAAAATGTTGAAAAAATATGCGATGCCGTGTGGATCGGAGTGCAACGCTACTCATACCCGGCGAGCTTTCTGATTCTCCTGGAAGGCAGAGCTGATGATCAAGGTGACCTTACGATGCCGGCAGTGGCTTGCGACCGTGGCTTGATGCAGAACGTTGTGGTCCACTTGAACCGGCAGATTCACCACTGATACTGCCAACAATACGAAGTGGCTCATGCAGCAGCGGTTCAAGCCCGAAAGGACTGGAAGCGATTAAGTTTCCGAAAGTCAGGGCTCAGGCTTTAGGGTGTGTATAGGGTCTAGCTCCAAGGCTCCTATAGGAGGAGTTGGGTTATATCTTTCCAGCTAACATTTCAGGAGGTTCTTAAAGATACTACTTGCATTGGGGTTCTAAGGGAAGCTAAGTCTTCCCAGCTGTACCCGTTTGCCAGTTTTTGTTCGGGGTCTCCTTGTCTCCTTATTAAATCACCGAATACTACGGCTGATGATTTAAATCCTAGACTACGTTATGACCCTAGACTTCGGGAGTTATGGTATATTCCTTAGTATGGGTAATGCAGGGTTTATTTCATCAACCTTGGAAAAGGCTACCCTTAGTATTTGGTCACAAATGCACGCCGCCAGGCATACCATACTGTAATATTTACGGGCTACTAGGAAACCTAGACCTGTGTTCTGCGCGCCAAAAAAGCTTTACACAAAGACTACGTGGACCCTTAGGCATTTATGTAAACCTTACACCCTAAACTCCCTAATCCCTAAATCTGAACCCCTATAACCTAAAATGCCCTATAATACCCATGGCTGTCACCTTGTTGGGGGGCGCTCTGCGTTTTGGTCAGGTGAAGAGCCTCATCGAGCAACACGACGTGCAGCAGCTCAAGGCTAGCATTTCGGCTTTTAGGGTTTCAGGGGTTTTAGGGTTGTAGTGGGCTTAGGGTTTTAGGGTTTTAGGGGCTTTAGGGTTTTAGGGTTTAGGGTTTAGGCTACTTTTGATAGTTGCTTCACTGCGATGATGGTTATGATCATGATTACTTCTACTGTCATTTGTAGTGCTTTTCAATTTTCAGAATGCATATTCTTATATCATTACCATCATCGTGTATGCTGTAGTACTGACTTTTTTGTTATCCTAAACCCTGAGCATCTAAACCCCTGAGCCCTACACCAATGAGCAGCCCTAAACCCCAAAAGCCCCTAAAAGCCCCTAAGGCCCTGAACCTAAACCTTTTTCGGCTGATCAAGCCTGAACCCAAGAGCCAAGAAAGCCGTCTCGGCTTCCGAAAGAGCGCGCGCTCCGAAACCGTGGCCGGAGACCCTTGCTTTAAGTTTGCGTGTTCACAAGCGTTGACATGGGTGCTTAGAGGCCCAGGGGACTTAGTAAGTAGGTTATAAGTAGAGTCATAAGTACCTTAAATGGAGTTACCCCAATGATAACCCTACTTATAAACGACTTACTAGGTCCCCTGGGCTGCCAACTGTAGGATTGACGCGTTTCGGGTTTATACAGGGTTCAGCCTTGATCAGCCAAGGGAGGTTGAGGTTTAAGGGGTTTAGGGTTTAGAGCAAAGCTTGGGGTTTAGGCTAGGGGTAGGGGTATTGTTTCGGGTTTAGAGGGGTTTAAGGGGTTTAGGGTTTAGAGCAAAGTTTAGGGTTTAGGCTAGGGGTAGGGGTATTGTTTCGGGTTTAGAAGGGTTTAGGGGTAGAGTTCGGAGGAACAAGCTCGGAGGGCGACGGGAGGAAAGCTGCTGTGAGTCAGTCGGAATCTCGCTGCGGAAGCCCAAAAAACGTAATGAAGTCTATAAAACGCTAAACCCTAAACTCCAAACCCTAAACCCTAAACCCTATCCCGTAAATATCGCCACTCAATCAAGAAGCTGATGTTGTGCAATCCCTTCTGGACTGTGCATGATGGGTGGGAATAAGCCCACGCGGGACAAAGGGGTGGAGTTTAGCAAGCTGCAGGCGCTACGTACCACATTCAATCTTCGTTGAAGCAGAGGTAACCCAAACCTACGCCCTAAATCCCGAAAAGCTTGTACACATGCCCGAACCTCCAGCAAAGACCTAAGCATCAAAGACCTTTAACATTCATTTGGGTGGTTGTCAAAATTATGGTCCCTTCTGGGGTCCTTTACATAATACGGCACCTATTATTTAGGGTACCCCAAACGGGACCCCTATTTTGACAAGCACCCATCTGGAAAGCTTAAACCCTAAACCCCTAAACCCCTAAACCCTGAACCCTAAACCCTAAACCCCTAAACCCTAAACCGTTCGGGCGACGCTGGAGGACTTGGTGGATGGCATGCTCGCCGAGGACGCCACAGAAGCCCTAAATCTTAAAAGGGCCATGAAACCCTAAAGCCTGCCCTAGAATACCCTATACTACCCCTTGGATCCCTTTAAAGGAACTATGGCCAACTTGGATTCGGCTTTGGACGCACATACTTCAAGATTTTTACAGGGAGCCATTATGAAATAAAAGGGTCACCTCAAAGCCCAGTGGAAGGGTGCCCGAAATCGTTGGAACCGTTTCCAAGGTGGTTTAGGGCTTAGGGTTTAGAGTTAGGGTAAAGTGCAGAGCGGTTAGAGTTTGGGCTTTGGGGTCGGCATGTTGGGCGGGGGATGAGAGCCAGTGGTGTTGCATCCACCGCAGTTTTTTAGCATCTGAATCTTAAGAAGGTTAGTGTGGTGCCAAACAGCGAGCCAGGCATGCGCAATTGCAACCATGTGTAGCCAATGGAATCTACGAGCCAGACTAACAACAGTACCTCTCGTTTGGGGTCCCCCCCAACCGTCCAAGCACTTCTTTCCTGCAGACGGTACGGCCATCAATCAAGGGATGGTCTTGAAACGGGCCGTTCCCTACCTTGCCACATGGGTCGTGGTCCGAGGACTATTTAACAGAAACAACGCTCATTCCTTCGTACATTTCGTGCCTAGCATAGGTGTAATTCTGCTTTTAGAGTGTGTGTGTGTGTGTGTATATATGTATATACGTTTTTATGCATAGTACCATGCTTCCCAAAGCCCCATTCTGATGCTGAAGGCTGTTGAGGTTCTTGCAAGCTGCAGTCTGCAGGCTGTCGCATTTCATCACATGTCCCACGGTGTAGCTAGCTTCAAGATGTGCTCTGGATCCGGCAGACCCTGCACTGTGACGATTCATTATTCCATTCATCACGGATCCTGACCACAAACACTTTATTCCGAAAAGGTATTGCGGATCAGCGTCCCAGTAGACCGAGAAAGGAGTCCAGCTTTGCGTTGTTCGCCCGCCCTGTGCTTCAGCAGGCGGCTGGAGTTGCACGAGGGACATTTGATCCTAAACCCCTAAAGTAAAAGCCAGAAAGTTGGAATATGATTATCCTAAACCCTGTATGGTAAATTATGAGGTATCCTACCCTGAAACTATATTCCAACTTTCTGGAGTTCCCTTCAAAGCCCCAAGCTCGTTTGTTTGGGCTGGTTGTTACTTGTCGTGTCGTAAACCTGCTCTGCGCTGTGGGTTTTACTGACGACTTTACGATCCAGGTTCGGGTTGCCACCTCAGTCATTTTACTTTTGTTGGGACTGTTAACAATACTCCTGTTTTCGTTGGCGTCATTGCCACTGTTGCCTCCTTCTCGCTGCATACTCACAAACAAAATTCCACTGATTCGCACGAACTATTGCCTTCCTTGTTATGTGTATATATGTATGTGTGTATATAAATATATGTGTATACACAGAGTCTGAGACAGAGAGAGACAGACAGACAGATACGGATATACAGATATAGATACAAGTATAGATACAGATTGCCATGATTATAACTACTCTCTCATCGTTGCTACGATTTGCGACCCAACCCCCTTTCAGGCTTCAAGGATCTGAGTAAGCATCATTCCTTACATGATTTTGGGAGACGGTTGAGAATTCGAGGTTTTAGGGTTTAGGAAGAGTAGGGTTAAGTTACGGTTTACGATTTAGGGTTCAAGGGTTAGAAGGCTTAGGGTGTAGGGTGCGGAAGCAGTCGTCGCAACCCCGGAGCAGCATTCGTTAGTTCTTCTCCGATCCCCGACGTTTGATTCATGGTCTTTGTAGAGGTTAGCATCCTATCGGCACTTGCGGCAACGTGTCTATCATGTCCTTGAGCTTGGGGCCAACAAGCTTCACTCGTAAAACAAAGCAAAGCTGTGGACCGTGGACCACAATCAGACTCCGGAACCCCTAAACCCCAATCCATAAACCCTAAACCCCAATCCCTGAACCCTGAACCCCCAGACCCTAAACACTAAGCCCCCAAACCCTAAACCCCCAAACCCCAAGCCTTGCCCTACGCTTTGAACCACAGGACCGCCTTAACCCCGGGTCCACAACCCATGTAATGTATCAGCCGAAATTATTTCCAACGTCATCCCTTAGGGTTCCTTATTATGGGCCAAGTAGTCCCTATTTATGGTTCTTGGTACCTAGTAAGGCCTTAAATTCCTATAATAGGGAGTACTTGGACCCTCTGGGTTCCTTATTATGCCTACATGAATGAAGGATCCCAGAACAGGAACCCCACCAAAATCATCAAGGGCCCTTTCTCCGCCTCCGTCCCAGAAGGCTGCGGCCCAACAACAGCCTTAGGGGGTTCCGGAATCACAGAGTCACAAAGCGAAGGTCTTTTCTTCCAGTGCTGCGCTGCGGTTGAGGGCTTAGGACATGTGGAAATTCATGGAACTTTAGTAGCCTTAGGGGTACTTAGAAATATTTTTTAATTTTTGGTGATTATAATCCCTAAGAAAAAGCTAAAAGTATCATTTTTGCTAGGGTTCTAAGTTCAGTATAGTAGCCGCCGTTGCCAAACCACGGAGGACTCGGGCTCTGAATCAACATGGCCCGTAGCTTCGCCCTGTCGGTCTAAAGCTCTAGCACTGGTATTGGGTACTTGGACTGTGGAAGGCTAACGAACCCCGGCACAAGGAATGACCCAGCCAACATTCATAGGTTATATGAGACCTTTATAGCAATACCCTTATTATGCTCCCCTAAACCCTAACTCCTAAACCGTTACTGTACTCAGAGGCCCAGAGGACCCAGGAAGTACGGCATAAGTAGGGTTATAACTGGGGAAGTCCATTTAGGGTGCTTATAACCCTACTTCTGACCTACTTACTAAGTCCCCTGGGCCTCTACATGACCAGAATCCCTCCCTTATAGAACCCTTACAGATCCCTTTTAAGGAACCATTTTAACGAAGCTACTTACTAAGTGCCCTGGGCCTCTAAGCAGTCTCACCCAACCCTAAACCCTAAACCCTAAACCTTTAGTCTCCAGTAGCCAATGTATGGTTTAGGGTTTAGGGTTTAGGGGTTTAGGGTCGCAGGTGGCGGAGCAGATGGACAAGCTGAAAAACACTGAGCTGAAGGCTTGCCTTCAGGGTTTAGGGACCTTTTAGGGTTTAAAGGGTTTTGGGTTCGGGTGGCTTGGGGTTTAGGGTTTAGGGGATTTGGGGTGTAGGGTTTCGGCGGTTTAGGCGCTTTGGGGTTCAGGGTTTAGGGTTTGTGGGGTTTGGCAATTTGGGGAGTAGTAGCGGTTCTGGTTAGCTGCTTCTCCAACACCTGAATACGTGCGACCTGTATTCATGCTTGGGTGCTTGTAGCTTAAAGTGGTTTTGAACGTTGACCAGATGATTGGTGCGGCTATTTGCAACGTTGGTTGTTTTCGAAGTCAAGCTCTATCGGGTTACGGTTTAGGCTTTGGCGTTTGGGGTTGACAAAGTTCATGGTTTAGGTTTGGGGTTGGTGGTTTTTGGGTAAGAAGTTCGCCGATGCAGTATGACTCAAATTAAGGTTCATGGATGTTCTTGGCTTAGGGCTTTTTCAGGATGTAAATTGTACATTCCAGAGGTTTGCAAAGACTTTCCACGGCTGAGGGATGAAGGCTTCAGAGTGTAGGGTTTGGGGGCAAGGGCTCCCGGCTTGGTATGGGTGCCGGGGTGCTGCGAGGCTGCGAGTAGTACATCCGTACATGGCAGTCGAATCCGTCAACTGAAAGCCGGAGGCCTTCAATCTTCATTCTCAGACCAGGGCGTTGAGAGAAGATCGGGGTGAGGGGCAGGGGTTTCGGGGCTAGTCTTGCTAAACCCTACGCCCCAAACCCTAAACCAAAACCTTAAACCCCTGAACCCTAACCCCTTAAGCCCGAAACCCGAAACCCTAAAACCCAAAACCCCTAAACCCCTAAACCCCTAAAGCCTAAACCCTAGGCCAAACCGAGGACCCAAGAGTGCTTCGGCCAGGGTACTCTCCACCTAGACCACTTCAGGGTCTTATAGTGAACCCCAGAAAGTTGGAACATAGATTTAGGATGATTCATGCTGGGATTCCCTATACTTTACTTTAAGGGCATGAGGCTAGTGATGTTCCAACTTTCTGGCTTCTATTGCAGGGGTTCACGGTCCCAAAGGGTCCAAAGTACCTGTATACTAGAATGTAGGGTTTGTATATTAGGAATTACTATTATGATTTAGGGAAGTATCCCCCATAACAGTACCCAGGACCCTTTGGGGGTTTGGGGTCTACTTGGAGGTTCATGGGTAGTTATACGTATAGTTATAAGTCCCCTAATATGAGCCATAAGTATAGTTACCATACTTATAGCTACCATGAACCTCCGAGTAGGGTTTAGGTCAAAAGGGTATTCAACGTTTCTGGTCTAGTTTACGGTGTAGGGTCTAGGGCTTAGGGTTCAGGTTCTATGGTCAATGCCCGAATGAGCCCCTTCCTCAAACAACTTGCCCATTCCATACTAAACCCTACGTCCATAATTCCTAAACCCTAAACCCATAAGCCCCCAAAGCCATAACCCCCAAACCCTGAACCAATAAATCCCCAAGCCCTGAACCCTAAGTCCCGAAACCTTACAGATCCCAGGAGCTCGCCTTACACACGCTCGATCGTCTGCGCGGCCGAGTGGTCTCCTTCGAGGAGGAGGATATCGAGCCAGTCCTCTCGTTAGGGATTGGTTTGTCAGTTTTGTTTAAAGCTTCTGTTCAGTGCTTTTGTTGGTTTGCTGAGGTTTTTTGTAGGGTTGGGGGGTCAAGGGTTTAGTGCAGAATAAACTAGGCGGCTCTAGGTACTGGAGCCGTAACATATAGATATAGATGTGGATATATACATATTTGTATGTACATGTATATATATATATATATATATAAGAAAGATACAGAGATGTCCCGACTCCCTAAACCCTAAACCCATAACACTAGCACGGCAGCATCCGAGGAACGAGTTCAGAAATCAGAATAAGGAAGCCGACAAAGGTCGGTTGCCTGAACCTACAGCTTTGCTTCAGGAGCTTAGAGTTTAGGGCTTTGGGGATTAGGGAGTTCCCAACATCCCAAGACCCCTTAATCTAGGACCCAGAGTAGGCCCTTATTCCCTTTTTTAGGGTTCAGGTTCCCTTATAAGCCCCTTTACAGCAAAAAGGGCATCCTTTTTATGCCTGGGTTACTCTTGGGTCTAGTAATTAGGTAGTATATCTTAGACCATAATATTAAGGCTCCTATAGTTTAAGGGATGTTCCTTAAGGGGTGTGGGGATCGCTGGGTTCTGGAGTTTCGAGTTGAGGGGTACTTGGCGGCCCAGGGGACTTAGTAAGTAGGTTATCAGTCAGGTCTTTATAGCAATACCCTTATTATGCTCCCCTAAACCCTAACTCCTAAACCGTTACTGTACTCAGAGGCCCAGAGGACCCAGGAAGTACGGCATAAGTAGGGTTATAATTGGGGTAACTCCATTTACGGTACTTATAACCCGACATATAACCTACTTACTAAGTCCCCTGGGCCTCTAAATAACCAGAATCCCTCCCTTATAGAACCCTTACAGATCCTTTTTAAGGAGCCATTTTGAGGAGCCTAGTCATAACCTACTTCCAAGTAGCCTCCAGGACTTCGTAATCCGAGAGCTGCTGTCCGAAGTCTTCCAAGCTGAGGGCGTCGCCTGGCACACGGGGCTTAAAGCGGGGCCCAGGGACTTAGTAACTAAGGTTCCTTAAAGGGCTCTTTTAAGGGAGCTATAAGGGATTCTTATAAGGAGGGGTTTTAGAGTTACTTGGAGGGTCAGGGGACTTATCAAGTAGGTGCTAAGTGGGGTTAGAATTGGGTAAGTCCATTTAGAGTACTTCTAACCCAACTGATAACCTATCCTTCGGGGATTTCTTGTTTCCCTAATATAAGGGTCCATGCACCTACTCGTAGATACTATATACATTGGCCTTAAAGTAGTCCCTATATAGGTACATTGGGGCCAAAGTATATACTATTTGGGTACATGGACCCTTAGGGTTTGCTTCCTTTCATTTCCAAAAATACGCTTACCTACTATTAGTTGCTCAACTCATGGTGTTGTATGCACACTAGCAGTGAAAGGCTTCACGTATACTGGGACATACTCCCTAGTTTAGGTGTTCAGGGTGTGGGGTTTAGGGATTTAGGGGATAGGGCTTCAGAGTTCAGCCGGTTAGGACTTTGGGTTTTAGGTTTGCGGCTCCAGGGTTTTAAGGCTTGGGGGTTTGGGGGTTTTTGGTTTGGGGCTCTAGGGTTTAGGGCTTTCGGGTTTAGGGTTAAGGGTTTGGGATTTAGTCATATCTCCTCAGCATCTTGCCCTTTCAGAAAAACACACACGATTCTAAAAGAGTGGTAAATCTTCTTACTGGGGTCACTCTTTCTAGCCCCACGGGTCCAAGTACCTAAGAATCATAATATACTCTCCAATATACTAAGCTACATAACTACTATCCTAAGCCCAAGTACATTTTTACTGGGTCCTTTGGACCCATTGAGTAGGCAGCTGGCTCCGAAGTTTTTTGGGTTTAGGGCCTTAGGCAAAAGTTGGCTTCAATGTGGCATCTTTCTTTCGGGCTGTTCGGCTTTGCTGCGCAGTTTGGCTTCGGAGGTTCACAGTATTGTTGCGCCTTATGATTTCGGGTTTAGGGCTGCAGAATCAGCATTCGTTCTAAGTTTGAGGTTTTGGCGACAGCGGCGCTAAGCCTCCGTGTTTCAGCATCTACCTGGATCTTGAACCGCGCTTTGACCCTGAGCAAGAGTAATGCATAGGGAATCCCAGCACTATTTGGCCTTAGTCCGGTTTCCAACTTTATGGGGTAGGAGTTTGTTGCTTCGTGCGTTTTGTTCAGTCTTGCGACGCTGTTCTGGGTCTTAAGGCTGAACCCTAAGGGCCCATAAGCCCCAAAGCCTAAACCCAGGACCCTGCCTGAGCCCGAAACAGCCCTGAAGTGAAAACCCTAAGAACCCTAAAGGCCCAAAATCCCCTAAAGACCCTCCAAGTATACTCTAAACCCTAAACCCTATACCCTGATAGAATCCCTATAGATCCCTTTAAAGGGGCCCTTAAGGAACCCGTCCTTGAAGAAAGGCCTAAGCATCCTATAGTATATACCATAAACCTCAGACAGACCCTGAAGCTTCGCCGTAACGCTTGTTTAAACGCTGAGCCCTGAACCATACGGCCCAACGACCCAGAGCTCCCAATACCCCGTAACTAAGGAGTATACCTTAAGTTATAGGGGCCTGAATATTATTATGGTTTACCGTAAATTTCCGAATTAAGGGGTATTGGGATCTCTGGGGAAGACTGTAAGCCCCATACCCCACATGGATTATCTCTTTCTCGGCTTGGAAGCTCACGGAAAAGCCCTAAGCCACAGCCATACGCACTGAATTCTAGTCAGCCGCAGGCCCTCAGTGCTGCTCATGGATCCTTCACGAAGAGCTTATATCCCTAAACCCTACCTGTAGCCGACAAACGTACCTTTTTGGATTCCTTAATCATGGTTTCTTTAGATAAGTCTGAGTCTCAAAAGGTACGTATTTGGGCCACAGGTAAACACCGGTAAAGTCCGAGAGGGACCTTACACAGCCTTTGCACACCCTAACATGTCCAGCCAAGGCCACTGCTACGCCGCTGCAACATTTCCCTAAACCCTAAACCCTGAAAGGGGCCCAAGCAGACTTCGCCCCGATAAACCCTCAAAGACCACAACATCTTCCTCAAGGAGGCTAAGGACCTTTCCGAGGAAGATTTCGACTGCTTCTTCAAGAAGCTCCACAAGAAGCAGAAGCAGTGCTTGTGGAAGAAGTTTGAAACGAGCCGCCAAGCCAACTCAGGAACCGAGCAAGTCTTCAAGGAAGCCAGCGGCTCAGGCGGGAGTGTCGTCTTTCGCCAGCGAGCACTCATCCGGCCGTGGGCCCAGGATGGTGGAAAGCCGGCCAAGTACTTCAAGCAGTCCTCTGTGGAGTGCAGATACACCCACTCCACAGTTGGCTGACCTGGAAAAAGACGTGTGACAACATCGCTGAGCTCGTCCAGGCAAGAGTGGTGGGTGGAACCATCGAGTACAGGAAGGAAACCGGAGGACAACATGCTTCTTCATGCATGCGTGCAACCGACATAAATACAGGCCCATAAAGACCGGTAGAAGACGTCATACAGCAGTATACAGGAGACAGCCTAAGAAGTGCCTCTATCAACACCGGAAGGATGTCGTTATATGTCCTGTCGCGGTATAAAGCCCGAGGCCATCCCCCTGAAAGCCAGGAGCATCCACTGAATCCTCCCCCCACAAGATCCTAACCTAAACACAACCAAACCCTAAACCCCCAAAACCCAGAACCCCAACACCCCAAACCCTGGATGCCCTCCACGCGGTCTACTTTATAGCTCCTTTGGGTCCTAGGACACCCCTAAACCCTAAACCCTCAAAACCCCAAACCCTGGATGCCTTACGTTCTGCTTTATAGCTCCTTCAAACCTAAACACCCCTAATCCCTAAACCCTAAAACTCCCAAAACCCTAAACCCTAGATGCCTACCTTACTTTCTGCTCCTTTGAGTCCTAAACACCCCTAATCCCAAAACCCTAAACCGTTGATGCCTACCTTACTTTATAGCTCCGTTAATGGGGTATAAATACAACTGATAACTACTATTACTACCATTCTTCCATTCCCTACTAACCAACGGTAAGTTATAGCTCCGTTGAAACCAAGGATTGGGCCGAAGCCGCAAAGTGCTTGGCGGCCATCAACTTAGAATCAGGCGAGTGTAGGGCTTGGGTTTATATGTTTTTTTTTTTTTTAAGGGGCTTAGGGTTTAGAGTGTGGGGTTTAAGGGTTTAGGGTTTCAGGTGTTGGGTTTATGGCGTTAGGGGGTGTTTTGGTTCTAAGGGGTTTTCGGGTTCAGTGGGCCAAGGAGCTTTTGGATTGGGAATGCCAGGATTTTCTGGCTTTCCAAGTCTAACAACTAGGTTTCGGGTATTGGATTCAGCTGATCGGGTTGCTCAGCGATTCACAGAGTCAGATGTCTGTAGCACTGGTGCACCTGTGGTGTAGTGTACTCTGTACAGGGTCACGCATACAATCAGTTGTTTTGTTGTGTGCCTGTTTGTCGCTTTGAGGGTTGAGGCTCTGAAAGGATGGATGTTCGATTCCACACTACATTTACGACATTGCACGGTAGAGGTGCCAAGTATGGCCACGCAAGGTCATTAGTCAGGCTTCAGACGTTATGTCCACATGCAGGCTCTTGCTTGCATGTGAGTTTACACTGTAGTTGCACTCATCTTTGTGCATGTAATGATTGCGTCTTTTTCCTCGTATGCACCCATATGTAGCAACACTAAGATCTTCGTTCCTGTCGGACAGGAACCCGCTGCCGCACCCCTCTGCAGAAGGCCGTGATCCGGGCAGACACGCGGGATTATTCTGACCCAGAGAGCCCAATACCCCTTAATTAAGGAATATAGCTCAAATCATAATATGAAGTACTATATAATTTAAGCCATATTCCTTAATTAAGGGGTATTGGGCTTTCTGGGGATGGCCCAGATAAAGAGACAGAGACAGGCGGACGGAGAGATAGAGAGGCAGAACGAGAGAAGCAGAGAGCATCGATACAAGCTAAACAAGTAGTTGCCTTTGGGACCCAACCCACTACCCTGGAGCGATCGATCACTAGGCTGTCCTCAGAACCCCTAGTCATACCCTAGTCTTGGCCCATTCGATCTCGTCTTCGGGCGCATTCCGGTCACAATTGCTCTCCCAAAACTAAATTCAACATTCAGGGGAGTTTCATTTTTGACCTGAGAAGTCTTCCCTCGTGTGTGAATCCCGCCAGATTGTGCAAACTGCTGCACTCAAACCACAAGAAATATAGACACCCAGGCATTTTTTCGGCAGTAGCCGCACCCTTGCAAAGCTCTGTCTATTCCAATACAAAACTATCTGAACCGCCCGAATCCACATCCTAATCTGGCGGCAGTGTACGAGCCTGAATGCAAAGCTTGAATTCTGAACCCAGCGCTCGGCTCCTGCTGTGAGTTCAGGCAGAGAAGTACGTCAAGATAGCAGAGCTCTACCTTGAGGAATCGTTGGGCTGATGGTTCAGAGCCTGGGAGTCTGAGTTTCGGGTTCAGGATATAAGGCAGTTTACAGTAAGGTTTAGGGTTGAGCGCCGAAGGGTTTGCACGACGCTAGTCTTATCTTCGGTGTTGAGAATCAGAGAAGAGGTGTCATCCTTCAACAACATGATCCGTTTGTATATGTGTGTGTGTTTCCAGTACAGTTACAGCAAAAGCCCTACGGATCCAAGCACGCCTTATATTCGGATTTGTGATTTTGTCATGAATCCCATGCAGGCAGATGGGTTAGGAAGACTTGGACAACACATTGGGGGGGGGGTTATTGCTGTTGGCCTTGACCTTAAACCCTAAACCGGAAACTACAAGACAGAAACATGGCATCTTTGGCGGTCGTGGTTGCTTCAGTTGGTGGCTTAAGCTTTGTGTTCTGGGTTCAAGGTTTAGGTCTTCGGGCTACTAGACCCCGCCAGGCTATACATCCTTCCTGAACGTAGTTTTCAGTGACTTACTGTTAGTGTAGCGCACAGTTTAGAGTTTAGAGTCCAGAGTGATACACGACAATTCAAACTGCCAAATCTTCCAGGGAACAGCGCTGGAAACCTTCGACCTGAAGGGTGGAAATCACTAACCGTTAAGCCTTTAAGCCCATGGGGTTGAGATTGACTCGCTTCGAGACTGGGCGGGCTAATTAGAACTCCTGCAAGCAAGAATGCCCACAAAGAGACGAGAGGCGGCCACGGTTTGGGGTTTAAGGCATAGGGTTGCTTGCGCTTGCAGTTGTAGTCCTTGTAGTGGTAGTTGTGGTAATAGTCGTCGTTGTGGAAATGGTGTTGTAAACCACTAGTAACAGTTCTTGATGATGAAAAATATCACGAGTAAGTAGAAACTGTCATAGTCGTTGTATCAACAATCGTCGTCTTCGTCGTAGTCGTATCAGAAGTCGTCTTCGTAGTCGTAGTCGCGGCCCCTCGTAGTCGCAGTGGTAGTCAGCAGCAATAGTGGGCGTCGGCGCCGTTGTGGTAGTGGTGTCGTGGTCGTTGTACTGGTCCTGGTGATGGTAGCGGTAGTTGTAGTCGTTGTGCAGTTTCGTTGGTGTTTGGCTTTTCCTGGCATTCCTCACAGCAGGACGATGATCCCATCTCTGCTGACACGTTCTGCTCGAGGGCGGCGATGGTCATGCACGAGGCAAACACAGCCAGCTGAGCGTTGTTCTTTTTGGGGGGTTCTTGTGACAAGACTAGGAGGGCGATTAGCGAAAACTCGGTCGCTTAAAAAGTGCACACCCTTTCGATCGCGCGCAAGGGCGAACGCAAGCTATGCTCAAGGCTTGTTGTTAAGGTTGGTTCAAGAGTGATACTCCAGCAGCGTTGTATGTAACCGGCCTACACCCTAAACCCTAAACCCCCCGTAAACCCTAAGCATTAAAACTCTATAGTATAGTCCCTAAATAAAACCCTAAACCCAAACCAAGGCCGTTCCGCTTCTGGAGTAAGCGCTTTCATTCTTATATTCTGCAAGCCGCGACAGCAGAGTCGCGAACGGTTGAAAATTAGGTTCTGACACGGCATACTCCGCGCAAGATCGGCGCAAGCGCGTGCAAGACGACGCGTAAGGTCGCCTGCCCAAAGCCATGGAGGACCCAGCACAACTTCTTGAGCCTTGAAGCCACAGTGTTGTACCTGCAGCCGAAGCTTAGACTCGAAGCCACCAAGCGTCAACAAACCGCAGTAACAAACCCTATAGTCTTAAGAAACCCTCGCGCGCGCAAGCACGCCCAAGGAACGCGCAAGGGCGAAGCGCAAGGTATCCTAATTGGCATGCGTGGAACAAGGATATAGAACAACCCTCAGCTCGAAAGACGCATCCTGAAGCCTTCTGTCTAAGCGATTATATGTGGAAGGCACAACAAGAGGAAAGCCCTGAAGCTCGAATAGCAATGGTAGCGGCATGTATGTGGTGTTGGTGATGGTAGTAATCTCAACCTAGTAGTATCACTACAACGAGTACAGTTACTAGTAGCAAGAATGATGCAAATAGTAGATCAAGTCGATATGTATGTATATACATGAGCGCTCACATGATAAAGAAACAAGTTAAACCTGCACAAGTAGATAGACAAAGAGTTATACAGATTAATATACACAGGTAGATGTACATATTATTTACATATGTATGTATAAAATATATCGTATACATTATATATATATATATATATATATATATATATATGTATATATATATATAGTGTATATATATATTGTGTATATATATTATATTATATTATATTATATTGTATTATATTATATTATATTATATTATATTATATGTTATATATTATATATTATATATCATATATTATATATTATATATAATATATAATATAATATAATATATTATATTATATTATATTTTATTGTATTTTATTATATTATGTTATAATATGTTATAGTATGTTATATTATATTATAGTATATCATATTATGTTATATTATATTATAATATATTATATTGTATTATGTTATGTTATAATATAACATAATATTATATATTATGTTATATTATATTATATTATATTATATTATATTATATTATATTATATTATATTATATTATATTATGTCATATTATATTATATTATGTTATATTATATTATATTATATCATATTATATTATAATATATTATATTATATCATATTATATTCTAATGTATTATATTATATTATATCATATTATATTATGTCATATTATATTATATTATATTCTTATTATATTATATGTATATATATATATATATGTGTGTAGAGGTATGTCCCTATCGGCATATACCATATATGCAGGTATGTATGTGTGTGTGTGTGTGTATATATATATATATATATATATATATATATTTGTACAGGCGTACACCCGTGTATGTGGATATAACTCCCAATCTCAAAACCTTCAACTCTGACATCAGGCTGCTTCGGGGGCCAGGGTAGTCTTCGACTTTAAGATTTCGGGTGGGATGCAGGGCTTCAGGTCGGAATGTTTAGGGTGCGGGGTGTAGGGTTTTTGGGTATGAGGTTTAGTGTGCAGGTTTTGGGGAGTAAGGTTATCCGGCGTAGGGTCCAGGGTGTGGGTTTGTTTCGGGGATAGGGCTTTATTAAAGTATGGGCAGTTTGCGGCATAGTTTTACGGGTACATGGGTATATGAGTCACTGATGGGCAGGTGAACGACACGCCGCTGCTGCTGCGTTATCGGGTCTGCCATGCTTCGATCTCAGAGATTAGAGAGTCACTGTTTCTTCATCAACTTACTCTGGGGAGCCCGAATAATCAGTAGCCATGCTATCCGTGTATAGTCCTTATGTACCTATCCCCTCTCTAAAAAAGGACCTATTAAAAAACAAGGGGCAGCTGGCGGCTTTAAGGCTTTACGGTTAAAGCCCAGAATCAAGAGCTTGAGGCCTTTGCGCTTTGTGGCTTTATTTATATTTAACGAATCAGGATTTAGGGGATTAGGGCGATTGGGCGGTTCGGAGGTTAGGTTTGAAGGAGGTGACGGGGATGAAATGTGTGCTTTGGGGTTCAGGGGTAGGTGACAAGGTTTGGGGTTTAGGGGAACTTACCAGGCCAATGATCCTAAACGCTATCCCCCTCAATCTTTTCAATGAGTTCGGAAATCAGAATAAGGAACCCTACGAAGGTCGGTTGCCTGAACCCCACAGCCTTGCGTCAGGGGGTTAGAGTTTAGGGCTTTAGGTTTTAGGGCTTTGGAGTTTTGGGGTTTCGAGTTGAGGGGTGTTTAGGGTTTTAGGGTTCAGTTGGGGCGAGACACGCGGGCTCACCGTTGAAAGCCAAAGAGCTACGGATCGTCGTCGTAGTAGCAGTATATAGCAGTAGTTGTAATATCTATAGTAGCTAGTAGGAGTAGTAGTAGTAGTAGCAGCAGCAGCAGCGGTAGGTAGGTCGGTAGGCATGTAAGATGCAAACAAGATGCCCTCACTTGGTTACCCGAGCTACGACATACTTAGCGAGCTTCTGAGTGTTGAGCCTTCATAGCCTTCAAAGCCTCAAACTCGGAAGCCCCGAACCATTGACGCAACCTCTGAACCCGTAGCCGTTACACGGTTTGGGTTTAGGGGTGTGTAGAAGTCAACAACTTCAAAGGAATCCCTGCAAAATTGAATTCGAGGGTTTTCAAAGTCCATAAGGAGGGCCTCCAGGGATGCTAGAAGAACTTTTTTCCTATGGGTGTTGAGGGAACGCCGAGTTAAGCATGCATCTCTCCAAGAAGCGGTACCGGTAACGGAAGAAGTTCTTCGAATTCCATAGACAGGTGTGTTTTATTATAGGCCACTTATACTGTCCTTAAATTTCTAAACCCTAAACCCTTTTAAGGCAGTTTCGAAAGACCCTAAACCCCAAACCCGAACCCTTTCAAGGCCCTCCCCCAACGGTCCAAAGGACCCTATAATGAGGTACTCGGTTTTTGGATAGTAGTTATGCAGGTTCGGGTTTTGGAGAGTATATGATTATTAGGTACTTCGGTTGATGATATCAATCCTGCATTACCCATAATAGGGAATATACCATAATTCCCATACGTTAGGGTCCTTAAGGTAATGCAGGATTTATCCCATCAACCGTTGGACCCTTGGGGCTCTTAAAAGGATGAACCCGCCAAGCTGAAGTCACTATGTTTCAAGGCGCGTGTCCTCGACAGCAAGAGGACATCCTCGGGGCTCCAGGGCGCCGAATGCGGTTTTCCATTGTCTATGATGTTGCATTACATATGTTGCACTTTCTACTACATATTCAGATGTGGTTGTATCATATTACTATATTGAATTATACTATATCACATTGTTTGCTTTGGGTTGAGGGTGTGCAAGCTTCAGGAGTTCAAGCGTTTCGAGGGCTGAGGCGGTTTAGGGTTTGGGGTGTATAGGGTTGTTTAAACAAAGGTGTCGGGGAGCTTGGGTTTACTTTGCTGCTCTCAGGGATATTATTAAGCTATTTTTGTTCCGGTTCTAAAGGCAGCTAAGTTAAGAGTTCAGGTTGGAACTGGAACCCACAAGCCCTAAGCCAACCTTGAAACACAAAAATTAAACTTTAGCCCTGACTCCCAAAACAACATAAGCCTTCCGAACGTACTAACCGATTTCTGTGCTCTTTCTGCAAGCTGTTAAGGGTTTAGAGTCATTTAGAGTTATATACTCTTTGCTTGCTTTCTTCTTGGAGTAAACTTTCTTGGCAGCATGCTTGCGTCGGGAATCCATGGCCTGGTGTGCTAGCGGTCTATTAGCACGAAAATGCAAAGTGCTTCTTTCAGAAAACGAGATCCCCATACACCCTAAACCCCATACAGAATCAATATAGACCCCGATATATGAAGGCAGCTGTATAAGTGCCCCACATGTCTCAATTCGAGTACGACATGTGGATTCGGCAGATCTCCTGTGTCTTGACACTTGGGTCTCAGGGTTTCTTGGGGCTTTTTGAATCGAAAACTTCCTGGGGGTGGTGCGAGCGAAGTGCCACGTAGTTTTGGGGTCTAGGGTTTTAGGGTTTAGGGCTTAGGTGTTCCCAACTTGGGGACAAGCATCTTAAGGTTTTTGGGTATTTCCTCGTCGTTATTGTCTCCGGGACGTTGTGGCTCAGGCATGAAGAGAAGCGATCCAAGTCTCCTGACACACCTTACATTGTGAAGGCCAAGACTTACTACCCTAGGTCAGGGGCATTTCAGGGCTATAAACGCCAAAGTCGTGCACCAAAATTCGTGCACCCGATCCAGTGGCTGATCCAAAAAAGTCTGCAAAAATCACCCATATCACATAAGAGCTAGGACGGACTCCGACCCTGCGACTCCTAGTAAACCAAGAGTAGTTGCCTTGGGAACTTAGGTTTTATCACCAGCATCGACTCTTGGGTTTATCCGTAGAAAAAGGGCCCTTTGGGGTCGGTTTAAGGGTTCGATTAAATAGGGTCCCCTCTGAGGGTACTCTATATAGGTTCTAGAATAGGGTCCCCTTTTCGGGGTTTTGCAAGATCCCGCCATGTTCTGGCCTCCCGGAGCGAATGGCGCCGCTCCCGGCGCCCCCGCCGGCGCAACGCCCAGCGCCCCTGCGGGCGCCCCTGGAGCCGTCCCTACGATGCCACCTGCCGGTGGCTGCATGCCGATGATGGGCTGCAGCTCTGCCATGCTTGGATTTTCTATCCCCAAGGCTTTAAGGACTCATATTTTTAAGGCTTTTGGGTTTAAAGACCCTATTATGTAAGGCATCTGGGCCATTTTGAGCCTTAGGGCATGGGAACGGTTTCAGGTCAAGCCTGCTGCGTAGCTGCCCTTGGGTTTTGTTGAGAACTTCAGCTGATTTGCTTGGCAAGTTGCACAGAAGAGCAAAGTCTGGTCCCTGAACCAGGCACCCTAAAGCTTTAATTACCTTAAACCCTAAACCTCGCACCCAAAGCCTCAACCCCAAACAGGAAGCCTGGCTGCCTAAACCTCATCCTGATACCCTAAACCTTCACCTCAAACCTTGAAGCCCTAAACCTTAACCGCAAACCTGAAGCCCTAAACCTTAACCTTTCGGGCGGAAAAAGGTGCTCAAAAAAAACCTATCCTCATTTTTTAAGCCTTGAAACCCCTGAGCTCAAATCTTAAGCCCTCACCTTTTGGAGCTGGAAGACTTGGAGCATCACCTGAGGTGGGATGCCCGGGATGATGCCGGGAATGATGCCAGGTCCCGTGTTTCAGCGACGGGTGTAGGGGTTGCAGGATTTAGGTATCAATCCTTTTAGGGTTTAGGGGTTTAGGGGTTTAGGGGTTCAGGGGTTTAGGGTTTAGGGTTTAGGGGTTTAGGGTTTTAGGCTAAGGTGTTTGGGGTTTCAGGGTGTGGGTTTCAGGCTTTACAGGGTTAGGTGTTTAGGGCTTTGAGGGTTTAAGGCTCAGGCTTTCAAGGGTGTTGGCTGTAGGCGATGAATGGTTCAGAGCACGTCCGCTAATTATATGGGTGTATTGTAATGTAGCCCAAAATCGTAATCTTCATATATATATATATATATATCGTCTCCTACATTAGCATGGGGTGCTTGTTCGGGTTGTTCACAGGGCCTGGCCTGAAGGTCATGGAACGCTTGGTGGGCTCTTGCTTCGGATTGTGGGCGAGCGAGCCCACTACTCCTTATCGAGGATGATCTGAAACCCCCCAAAACCTACCCGGAGAGCCCAATACCCCTGAATTAAGGAATATGGCTTAAATTATATGGGGCTTCATATTATGAAAGGGGTATTGGGCTCTCTGGGTACCTTGCAAGGGACGTATTATAAGGAACTCATCCTCGAACGCATCCAGGTATGCACTACTATTTGGGTCCAACTAATGCGGATTAAGGTGTTGTTCTTTGCTAAGGGGTCTTGACCTGTCCGAGTGTAAGCTGACCTTTGAAGCCCCAGATAGGCCATTGAGACGTTTGGGTCGAAGAGGATCGTGATGGCGAATAACCTAGATGTGTTACATGAAGGGTTTCCGTACGATATTTACCTGATCAGCTGCTTAGCTTAATGTGACATTTAAGGACTGGATTTTTGTTCGGTGCTGTAGTGGGGCCTTCTAACTTTGCCGTAGTTTCCTCATTGCGGGTCGGAGCACTCTGTAGTCGTAGATCTTCCTCTAGACTTGAATCACTGAACACACCTACATAACCGTGAAGCATGGGCATATGTAGCAGGGTTGTGAATTTTATACATATATATATATATATATATACATATATACATACGTATGTATATATATAAACATGCACCTATGCGGTTCAGCTATTCTGATTCTGTATTTCCTCTCAACACGATGACTCTATAGTCCTTATCGCAGTGTTGAGACAAGTACTCCGAGGTATGATGCCCGGCATGCCCATGATGGGCACCATGCCTGCGCAAATGTCGGGTTGCAGATCGTATTGTCGAGTTGTTTCAAGTTTGACCCTACATCAATGTGAACGAGGGTGGAGAAGTCGTCCTGACTCTTGCAGCAGGGTTTGTTAACCCCACCCCAACTAACTAGAAGTTGTTCCCTCACCCTTTAATACATCAGAGTAGGACTTAGCCTGGCTTTCTCGCGGCCCCAGTTGGTCTACAATGGGGCTCGGAATCATTACAAAGCTTGTATCTAAGGAATCAGGGTAATCTAAAGGTTTAGGATTTGAGGTTTCGGGTTTGGGGGTTACGGATTTGCAGAAACATGATGCATGGACATGGGGCTGGAAACTTGACACCTTGCCCCTGCCCAAAAGCGACTCACACACCGAATTCGACCTTATCCCATTATGCGTTTATATACAGCAACCTGCTATTGCCAGACTCCTGGATCAGGGATCTGTGTTGCGCGTTGGAGTTGTGGCTTGGCATCTGGTATCGCAACACTTTAGCTAGACCCTTCCAAAAACTGAGGCTTGAAACCTCAAGGCAAAACCCAAAGCCCATACCCCAAGCTGCTTCGACAAGAACCCTGGACCTTGGACAGCAACTCCGAAACCACCAACTCCTGAGCCCTGAACCCCATGACTGTGGTTTACGCTAAACCCCAAAGCTTGTATTTCCGCTAGCCTCCTGAGGTATGAACCCTATGATGGCTATGATGGCCCAGATGGCATCCATGGGATCCGCGCCCGCCAACGACGATGAGGAAGAACCCGAGCCCAAGAAGGACCCGGGTGCGCTGTTAGAGGTCCCTGCTTATAATCTACTTACTAAGTCCCCTGGGCCTCCGAGTAGGTCCGACGAGGGGACTAGCCGGGAAGAAGCGGCCAACAATGGCTGAATAATTCCTTCAGAGTTGTAAATATCCCTGAACCTACCACAGAAACCGGTGCAGGGTATTGGTTGTTGGGATCAACTGAGGCAAGGATCGGACCATTTGGGTTTTCGGATCTGCTGCGGTTTTCGATAAATTTTGGTTCTTGGGGCTGGGTTTAGGGGTGTAGGGTTCAGGGGTTTAGGGGTTTAGGGTTTAGGGAGGGTTCAGTCCTCGGCCTGGGTGGCGTGGGAACCTGAACCCTGGCCCCAACAAAAATTAGGATCCACATAGAGATCCCTAAGAAAAAGGCAAGGTTACTGCATCAGGTTCCTCCTACACATAGACCCCCCCAACTACCCTCTATATCCCAGATACCCACTATTAAGGCCCATAAGGACGGGCTCCTACAGAATCCGTTTAGGGAGGGTGCCTCAGGAGGAAATGCGACCCATCAGTCGCAAATTCGCGCTGGTACGCTGGTACGCATTAAGGTGGTGGTTGTTTTCCTTAAGGTTTCACCAACGGTCCAAAGGACCCAATAATTATTGGTACTCGGTACTCGGTTGGTTTTAGGATAGTAGTTAACAGTTAACAGTTATGTAGGTTAGGATTTTGGAGAGTACATGATTATTAGGTACTTGGACCCTTGGGGTTTGGTAAGTAGAGTACAATGGACACCCAAACCCTTCGAACCAATCAGGCGCCCGTATGAATTTAAACACCCAATCCCACGCCCGAAACCTTAAAGCCCTCGCAACACAGGCACCATAGGACAGCTGCCCCGAAGTTGTGTTTTTCAAGTTTTTTCTCGGGGTTCAAGGGTTGTAGCATCTTCGGTCACTTAGGGATGTGAGTGGTTTGAGGGTTTAGGGCCAGTTTGGGTTTGCATGGTTTGCGGATTTCAGATGGGGTTTATGGTTTGATGGGTTTAGGGCAGGGGCCTAGGGTATTGGGGGCCAGGGACAGCTTAGGTTTCGGATAGACGGCCTAGGGCTTTGAGTTTGGATTTTCCGGCTCAGCGATTTTAGAACTTACCTGTTTGGTGGTTTACGGTTCGGGCTTTTGAGGCCGTTTGCTGGAGAGCATCTCCTTCAAATCCGACCGATAGCCGAACCCAAACCCAAAACATCCCTAAACTCTAAACACCCTAAATACCCAAATTCCTAAACCCTAAACCCACACATCCCTAAACCATAATTCCTAAACCATAATCCATAATTCCTAAACCATAATCCATAATTCCTAAACCATAATTCCTAAACCCTAAACCCTAAACTCTAAACACCCTAAACAAACCATAATCCAATAGCCCATGGTGCCCCCAGCTTTTGCTCGAAAGCTCCCCCAAAAAACGCACCCAGAGAGCCCCTAATCCCCTTAATTAAGGAATACCTAGGGTTCCTTTAAGGGATCTATAAGGGATCTATAGGGTCTAGGGTTTAAGGCTCCAATACCCCTTAAGTAAGGAATAGATGGCTTAAATTATATAGGGATTCATATTATGATTTAAGCCATATTCCTTAACTCCCTTATAGAACCCTTATAGATCCCTTTAAGGAGCCCTTTAAGGAGCCCTTAATTCCTTAATATTCCTTAATTAAGGGGATTAGGGGCTCTCTGGGCAGGAGGAAGGCCCTGTCAGCGAGGCTGCACGGAAAGGCCATCGAGGGCGGAGCGATGCAGCATCTGAAGCTGAGGGGTCCTGAGGGCTTAGGGTTTAGGGTGTAGGGTTTAGGGTTTAAGGTTTAGGGTTAAGGGTTTTGAGTCCTAAACCCTAAACCCTGGAAGCGCTAAACCCTAGAAGAGGCCCTGAAAGGGTTTGGGGTTTTAGGGGTTTGGGGTTCAGGGGTTTAGGGTGTAGGGTTTAGGGCCCTACCTTAAACTACCAAATTCCCTATTTTTTGTAGGGTCCCTATAAACTCCATATGATGAAGGGGGGTTGGCTGAATGGGTGGATGGAGGGCTGGTGGCTGGAGGGCTTCAAGGAGGGCCGGATAGAACTGGATGGAGGGGGTTGGCTGCATGGAGAGGGGGGTTGGCTGGACGGTTGGCGCGTTTCGATTTTGTCTGTCGGTTCAGCGGTTCGCGGTGTTTTTGGCGGTTCACAGGGGTGGACGGTTCCTGGCGTTTCGGTTCCGGTTTGCGGTTCGGTTCGCGGCCTTCCTGTAATAAGAACCTACAAAAAAGTAGGATTTGGTAGGCTAAGGTAGGGCCCTAAACCCTAAACCCTAAAAGCGCGAAACCCTAGAAGAGGCCCTAGAAGGGCTGAGCCTTCGTGGAGTTTTTTCGTAGAGGGAGATCGCTTCCTGTTGTGCATCCTCGGGTTTCGCCCGGACCTGCTGGAGTCTAAGTAGGTTTTGTGGGTTGAGGCTCAATCACTTTTGTAGGATGTTCTGGATTTTCCGGGTAGGGGTTTGGGGTGTTTGTATGTGGTGTTGACTACAACACAGTATGCTACTCGCTCGCCCCCAGCAGCACGGCCCATGCAAAACGTTAGCCGGCATCACAACCAGTTGCATGCGCAACGAACACAAAAAATAGGCCAGAGCGCATACCACCGTCCAAGACTCCAGATCCTAAACCCTGTCCCAGGGAAAGGGAGGGGCAAGCGTGCTCCGAATGCGGAGCACTGCCTGCCGACGATTCATCCCGAGGCCAGCCTATGAGATTATGAAATATGAGGGCTGTTGGATTCGAAGGATCTAAATCCATCAGTTGTCGGCAAGGGATGCATTGGGGTTCTATCAGGGCTTAAGAGTCAATGCTATATTATGGGTGTCGAAAATTTAGTGATGCTGTTCCTGAGGGGTCATTACTGTTATAATTACACCATTATATACCCGCAAACTTCCGCAAATCCCATTCCACCCTCGGTCTCCAGTGGGCCCTGTTTTGGGAACCCTTAGCCACTACCCAATACCGAAGTCGGAGCCCTTTCATTCCGAGGTTACACTACTAGGGTTGAATGAACTCCGTCGGTAGCACCTGCACGCAGATCCGCCATCAAGATGCACGAAACCGGCGCAAGCCCCCGATTACATGGTGTGTGCGTAGACATAATATAGGGGCCTAAGTAATTAATTACAAATGCTATTTTGGAGGGTTCCTTGTATAATATTAGTACAAGATACCCCCCCCCCCCCCCCCACAAAAAAAAAAAACAAAATATATTCTGCGTATTAATGCCCCTACATCAAGCAGACCGAAATCTGCACCTTCAGAGATCCCTAGTTGTCCAGTGGCCCGAGGCTTATAAGCTTTAGTATGCCCCAGGTTACGGGAAGCGTCAAAACGATCGTTCAAAATACATGCAAAAGTGTGGTTTTGTGAATGTGTAACATACATACAACATATTATGTTATAAGCATTGCAAGTATATACAGTACACATTCATGAGTAGATAGACATGCTTTTGTATATGCATAGTCATACTTGTTGGTTTATTTATTGTTTTTGCTGGTATACTCATATATATATATATATATACACACATACGCATATACATATATCTGTTAGAGATATGTAGCAGTACAAGTACTTCCTTTCTCGTATTATAGCTCGACATCGTTTGCCTATGGACTCTTTAACAAGTCGAAGCCCAAATCGCGCGAACCCTGAACACTATCAAGCTTGCAGCTTGTGTGCTCCTTTGTCTGCAGGTGGAGGCTCTTTGCAAAAAGTTCAATATCGAGGACAAGCGGCCAGCCGGCAATGTGCAGGTTGAGAACTTGAAAAAGTAGTCTAAAGCCTCGATTCCTTCGACGAGAGTTAGTCAGCCTTTGTAGCAGCCCTAATAACATCCTTATTGGAACAGGATAGAGCCCTCAAGAAGCAGCCTCTAAATGAACCCTTGTAGCAGGCCTTGTGGCAACCCCTGGACTAGCCGCTGGAGGAACACTCGAAGTGACCTGTATAGCAACCCGTATTTGGAGTAGTCTGTACACCAACCTTTGTAGCAACTCTTAAAATTCCCCACCAAAGCCAAGGATCGTGAGACGACTTGACGACGTCATGCGAACGAGACGCTTGGCTTGGGCTCAGAAAAACTGAGGTCTTGTTGTACATCTGGTGTCGAAGAACGAATACCATGAATTGAAAATCTCTGTTTGTGTGTTCGTATTGTTATGGGGTTTACTGGGCGGATTGATATGTTCAGACTTATAAACACACTGCAGGCATTGGCCGAAGCCTAAACCCGAAAGCCTTAACCCTGAGGCAACAAGGAGGCTATACATAGAGGTATAAGTCTCCCCAATTATGACCCTACTTATAACCGACTTACAAAGTCCCCTGGGCCTCTAAATAACCACAATCCCTCCGTTATAGAACCCTTATAGATCCCTTTTAAGGAACCATTTCAAGGAGCCGACTTACAAAGTCCCATGGGCCTTTGAGTCGGAGTCTGGTCCGAACGCAGTCTTTGAAGGCCTCGATCGGCCCTAACCAACGGCAAACGTACGTAGAGCCCAGGGGAATTAATAAGTCGGTTATAAATGGGGTAACTCCATTTAGGGTATATACTTATAACCCTACTTATAACCTAGTTACTAGGTAACTAAGTCCCTAAGTACTCAGCCTGGATGGGATCCATGGAGATTGAGACTTTGGGCTTTAGGGTTTAGGAGCTTTTGGGTTTAGAATTTGCGGGAATAGGGATGGTTTAGGGGGTTAGGGATTAGGATTTTATAGGATTTAAAGATTAGGGTGTAGAGCTTTGGGGTTTAAGGGTGTAGGGCTGTGGAGCTGTAGGATTTAGCCCTCAGTTGGCAAACCATCTACCGGAGGATTTGATTGATGAGCCCCGGGCGGCCATTGACCAAAGCCAGAGTGCGTTTTAAGCCCAACTTTCATACTTCGTGAGGTGCGTCGAAGCAAATTTCCAGTAACATCTCTGATGAATCTCAGTAAGGTTTCGATGCATCCGCCTTGCTATACCAAGTCTCATCGGAAATGATGACATTGACGAATCCCCGGGCTGTTGATCAACATCTTACCCAGACTCAGCGAAATATGCTGGAACGGTTAATGTCCGGTGTTAAGAACGCAGGGGACACCTGAAGCGATGCCAGACGCAAAGCCTGAAGGCGAAGTTGGAGGCATGGGAGGGGAGGGCTTCACGACGACGAGTGGGCAAAGTGCAACTCCGATGAGTTGCAGAACCCAATTAAGCAGGAGGACGTGCTGAACCATGACCAGAAGTTCACTGTGGGTGCTGACGTCAAGGTGATTCGTTTGTTGAAGAACTTCGGTGAGAAGCGCAGTGTGTGCTTGTTTCTGATGAAAGCCAGTAAAGCCCGAGGGGCTCACGCTGAATCATAAGTTTTTCGTAGGTGTTTATATGTACAGACAGACAGAGCTGTATTAATACGTGTTATACCCATACATACATGTGCATGTGTGTACATGTGTGTGTCAGTGTATGTATGTATGTACGTATGTATTGCATGGATGAATGGATGTATGTATGCATGTATGGATGCATGCGTGTATGCATGTATGCAGGTATGTATTTAAATACATATAGTTGTGTAAATACGTGCGCATATACATATTATCATATACAAATGCAGAATATGAACATACATACAAAGAGACGCCTTGGGTTGGAGGGTGTAGGATTTCGTACCGTAGATAACTTAGATGTTTTGGTTTCTTCAGCATGATTGTCCTGTGCCGTTCCTTAAGGTGGGTGTTTGGGGCATACCCCCAGCTGTGTTTCTACTTTGCTGCGGTCTAAACTGATATCGCACTTCTGCCCCAAGCCCAAAACCTACCATAAACCCTACCTTAACGTTGAATAACCTACGTTGCTCGGGTTCCTTATTATGATTGCCTTATATAAGTCCTTAAAAGCGGTAGGTTTTTTCCCGGTTGACGTAAACCTTAACTAAGCCCTACATCCCTCAACCCTAAACCCTGGAGCCCCGAATCCCTAAACCCTGATGTCCTAAGCACAAGCCCAGGAGAAGACAGCTTCGAGGAAGACCTGAAAGCGCTTTATGAGGCCGCGTGGAAGCCTTCTTTGGTGGGTTTAGGATTTGGGGTTTTGGGTTTAGGGGTTTAGGGTTTATGGCTCAGGGGTTTCGGGGTTTAGGGTTTCGGGGTTTCGGGGTTGGGGGTTTAGGGTTTGGTGCTTGGGGGGGGTTTAGGGGGTTTTGGTCTTCAGGAGTTTGATTTAGGGCTCGGGGTCTTGGCCTCCAGCAGGTCTGTAGACCCTGAATTGGCCCATACATGTTGTCAGAGCTTCCGGAGATTTTGGGGTTTCGGGCTCCTTTGCGGGTTCTACAGCGGGTTAGACTCAGGGCTGTCGGTACGAATCTGATAATGAGGTAATTGGGGTCAGAACAGTAGTAGTCACTGTAAGCCGACCTTTTCATGTTGACCACCCTAAACCCTGAACACCGAAGCCCTAAGCCCTTACCCCTCAACCTTCGCGTTCTCCGACCGTTAGGGATATCTGGAAGACCCACGTACTCAAAGGCTCATGGGACTTCGTATGAGGATAACCCTAATTAGCAACCTCAACTAACTAATTCCCGTGAGCCCTTCAGTGCCGAACCAAGCCCTGGCCCTGAACACCCTAACCCCGAAAAGTTGTAAACCGGATTAAGGACAATGAATGCTGGGATTCCTTATACATTACTCTTAAGGATGGAGGCTATTGGGTTTCCAACTTTTGGGCTTCTATTGTCTAGGGTCTAGTAGGGTAAAACAATAATGGGTTTACGAGGACCCCTCTCCAAGTGCCCTTTGATGGAGCCCCTGTGGTCCTTAATAGTGGGCATTTAGGGTACAATCGTGGGCAGTTTTGGGGGGTTTAGGGTTTAGGGGTTCTGTGCTTACTTAGGCATTCAGGCTCCAGGGCTAAAGCCGCACATAAGCCAATTGAAAAGCCCACAGCCTTGGAGAAAGGACACAAACAGCCCCTGTAGTACCCTCATAGAATGCGCAGAGGAACCGGTATAGCATCTTAAAAGAAACCATTGAATCCCTGTCCCCCAAGGAATCCAGTTCAAAGCAATAAGGCCAGCACAAGCATCCTCCACCGACCCCTGTAACAAAATAAGAGACGTCATCAACCCTTTCACAACCCGTGAAACCCTGCACAAGCCCCATAAAGCCTTTGTGACATTGTGAACACCTTGCCGCCGTACAAGCTCTACAGCCCCTACAAACCCTAAGCCCCTACACTCGATCACGCTACACCCTTGATTTCCTTATACACGTCCTTAAACAAGGCCAAACATCTTTCAGGGTGCAGGTAAGCCGGCCTGAAAGCCCCCGACCGACGGGCTCCTCCAACCAGAGGTCTGCGAAACGGCGAAGAAACCGTCAGGGTCGCTGATGGCATCCTGACTGCGGCTTAGGTCTTATGGGGCCATTTAGCGTTAAAGCTTTTGGAGGTCGTGGGTTTGGGGTTGAGAGTTTTGGGGGGCCATACATTCCCAAAGGGTCCTAGGTACTGTTATGGGGGATACTTCCCTAAATCATAATAGTAATTCCTAATATAGAAACCCTACATTCTACCATACAGGTACTTTGGACCCTTTGGGATTTACTGCTAAACACCGAATCGCCCGATTGCCTCACGAGAGCGTTTGTTTGCGAGCGATGAAACTGGCTGTCAAAAGTTTCGACTGCCCATATTTCTGTATTCTGATCTGGTCAATCTGCAGTGACATCGTAGTATCCCCCGAAACCCTGAAGGAGCATGAACAACTAACACAAGTCCCTATGTTTCCTCACCGTGTCTATGTTAGAATATACCACAAAAAGCTATTCGAAGGGTCCCTACTTGCAGGTTCATGGGTAGTTATAAGTGGGGTGATAAGTAGGGTAACTTTGCTTATAACCCATAATAATTAAGGGACTTCTAACTCTACTTATAACCACCCCTGCCCTGAACCTCCAAGTCACGCATGTAAAGCTTGCGATTCTGGGTCTGTGGTCTGCAGCTTGGCCATCCTTTGCAGTTTCGAGCCTTGCGGAAACCGGTTGCAGTCCAAAGCCTGGGCAAGACCTCAACCAGAAATGTAGGTATGTGTATGTATATACGTATCCATATGCACATATACACATTCATACTTACTTTGCATAAGCATGCATATATATATATATATATATATATATATATATCTTGCCACGCCGCAGAAGAGTCCGCGCTGCGAGAGGCGGTCCAAGAGACCGGCTTCTTTTAGAAGCATGCTGGTTGTTCCAGCACCCTAAGAGAACACTCGACGTTATCAAAAGCGAAAGCTGAACTCTTTAAACACTGAAAGATGTAGTAGGAATGCCCGGCGTGTCCGCCCCGTTTTGCGGCACTCCAAAACACTACATCTAGAAGCTCTCGACAGCGCGCATGCAGATGTTCACAGTCTACGTAACAGAAAGATATATGAGTTATCCAGCAGGAGGTCAGCTTCTGCAGGTGTGATGTGAGCGGGGGCACTATTGTATATACGTACATACATACATACATACATACATATGTGTGTGTACATTGAAACATATGTGTGTATATACCTATATGTATATGTACGTAGGTATGCATGTGTGTTTATGCATATATACAGGTGCATACATGCATATGTATGTATACATGTCGTAAATGTATGGTCCAGCCAGATATATTCCAGAGGTGAAAATTGGTGAGCTAGAACGCGGTTGCTTCACGGGCGCCGGCAAGCTGGACCAATGTATGCTTACTTTCAGGACATCTTGCGGCCTGGATGTAGTAGACCCCTCTTAGAAGTGGATTGAATGGTGGCACCGTTTTGATTGATTGAGTCTTGTTCGATTAGATTAGATAGAGAATCTTATGCTTTGGTTAGCGGTTTGGTCCACTCCAAGTTTGGATCAGTCTCTCGAGTTGTGGGTTCCAGTTCCGAGGTATTTCAGATTGCAGGCACTTCTTTACCTGTTATGGGTCTAGGGTTCAGAGTCCAGGGCCTCGGGCGCGTGAGCGTTCATGGGGTTAGGGGATAAGGGCATATATGGATGTAGCATATTAATATTCGCTGACGTTTCGGGAGAGCAATGCGGGTTTTCCATATATGGCTGCCTGGTGCTGAAATAGTAAGGAAGGTCTGAAATACTGGTATCATCACAGAGAGCTACAATACCAGGACCAGCAGCGAACCGCAAGCGTCGAGAGAATCCTTAGACAAGCAGAGCATGGCAAATTCGCAGATTCAATCAAAGAGCATAAGCTGTAATAAACCTATGCACTTGTCTTACACATTTGCTGCTGCTACGGGCCAGATTTCCAGCACAGGTTACAAGCTTCTCAGACTCTTAGGCTAGCTGCTTTACCTGAGGCGGTGTGTTGGTGCAAAGCCCACAACAGACCAAATAATCCCAAACCAGTGCACGGTTTCCTGGCCTTCCTGACAGGAGCAAGTACAAGCTGGATGACCGCGCTCACGCGAGGCAAGCGTGCGCTTTCGATGAGATTCACAGCGTAACTTCTTGGCTGCTTGACATGTGGGCTGATGATGACGACCATGATACCTTTACTGATCCTCATAGTGGTGGTGTAAGAATGATGTGATGTGGAGGATGGCAAGTCCACAGTGGACAGGCGATTTCGGGCCACGTGTTTGGCCCAACGCGAGACTCCACAACACCCCCAGACCCTGAACTGCAGCACCTTCTCTTCCACAACTTTGGACCCCTTCACTATCCTACACTCTAAACCATAAACCGCCAAACCCCAAACCATTCCCAAACCCCCAAACCGTTCCTAAACCCTAACCCCTAACCGTTCCCAAACCCTGAGCCTTAAACCCCAAACCGCCCCTAAACACAAAAAGAAAGTCCGACAGGTTCGTGGAAGTCTGTCATCCTCGAGCTCAAAAGCTGGACGACATCAAACGTCTTGCGCCTCCTTGGCGCTCAGAGTGAGGGTTTAGTGTTTGGGGTTCAGGGGTTTACTACGTAGGGTACTATAGGTTAATACAGGGCTTAGTGTCTGGGGTTCAAGGGTTTAGGGTTTCCTTTAAAGGGATCCATAGGGTACTATAGGGTCTTACAGGGTTTAGAGTTTGGGGTTCAAGGGTTTAGGGTTTCCTTTAAAGGGATCCATAGGGTACTATAGGCGGTATTACAGGGTTTAGAGTTTGGGGTCCAAGGGTTTAGGGTTTCCTTTAAAGGGATCCATAGGGTATTATAGGGTATTACAGTGTCTGGGGTTCAAGGGTTTAGGGCAAAGGGGGCTTGGGGTTTAGGGTTTAAGTTAAGGGTTTAAGGATTCAGGTTTAGGGTTTATAAGAGATCTATCATAAGATTTCCTTCAAAGCGGTCTATATGGTATTATGTTTGTATGAGCTACTTGTCTTGCAGAGCCTGGTGCCGTGTGCGTGGTAGGGTTTAGCGGCATACCGTTTCGGTTGACCAAGCCCCATCACCAGACAACATGTGACAGGTTTACATGTGCCGCTTTGCAAACACGTCAGCGCGATTCCTTCAAGCAGAGACCCATGGAACAGCAGCAGGCAGCTGCACCTGTCTATGTTGCACTTACACAAGGCACAAAATCAAAAGCACTATTTCAACCATGACTGATTATCCCTACACGACCCGCTGCTGAGGAGAAGTACCTCAAAGGAAACCAGAACCCATCACAGGCACGGCCTTGTGTGCCCAGAGACTCCAATACCCCTTAATTAAGGAAGAGTCCTTAAATCATATTAGGGATCCTACTATAATTTAAGGTATATTCCTTAATTAAGGGATATTGGAGTCTCTGGGTGCTGTTTTTCCCCTTGGGGGCCTCGTACGTGGAAGTCTCCGTCGATCCAGGGTTTTAGGGATAGTACCCAGAGAGCCCAAGGGGCTCCTTAATTAAGGAACAGGGCTTAAATCATTCTTGATTAAGGAATATGGCTTAAATTAAATAGGGCTTCATATTATGATTTTAAAGCATAATATGAAGCCTTATATAATTTAAGCCATATTCCTTAATTAAGGGGTATTGGGCTCTCTGGGTACACAGGCCTGAGTCGTTACTACTCCTATTGCTTCTCAGTCCTTTTAACACGCTTGAATTGTGACAGAATCGCTTCAGTTTGAATTCCCCAACGGGTCGAAGTACCAATGTAGTATGTACTTAGTAGACATATGGGCCCCCGATCTGTATAAGTGTACTAGTACTTGGACCCTTTGGGTTAACCCTGAACTCTAAACGGTAAGAAGGGTAGGGTTTGTGGAACCCTAAACCCCAAACCCCTAAACCCTATGCCCTAAACCCTAAACCCTAAAACCCTAAAAGGGTGGGTTCAGGGAAGCCACAGATCCGACAAGCACGCGTCCCAACCGACACACAGCGTTTTGGACCATGGAACAGCCCGAACCCTAGGACTCCAAGTATAGGGGTTTAGAGTTCAAGGTTCCGAATATACATATAGTATATACCACTTTCGGGTCTAATGTCTATGAATACATACTACCTACTTTGGCCTATGTGGGAGTCTTAGGGGAAGACTGCAAGATAGGAGCCTGAACAAATGGAAAAGGGCTCCTTCTAAAGTCCTTGATGGTGTTTATGCGGGTTACTGTAAGTGTTCTTCCACATTGGGGCCTTGTAATAGTTGAAATTTGGGCTTGGAAGTGTATTTTAAGGGACCGCAATGAGATACTATTGCACATGGTTAGCCCTTAGTCGATGTACCTTGGATTTGTGTTTTGCTTGTTCTCTGCTTGTATAGGAGGTGGTGCATGTATACATTCAGCCATGTCTTTGGAAGCTTCCTTCTCAGTTGCATGTACAGTTCAGTCTTGTTGTAGAAATCGGTGACCGACCATGGTTTGATGGCAAGACCTTTTCTCATTTAACGTCCTGCTGTCAGAACCTTGAGGGTTTACCCGTACATAATCCTAAAACCCCCGTGCATCTGAAACCCTGGAGCCTTAATCTACACCCACCCTGTTCCAGACTCCAGCTAGGCGGATGGAAAAAGGCGTTCAACATAAACACACCCTGAATAATAGACCAAAATCTCTCAAAACTCTAAAGACCCCAGACGTCCGCCGACTCACCGAGACAGGCCATCCTGCCCCTACTCACGCGAATTGAGCATCCCGGCTTAGGGATCCGGGGTTAGTTCAAGAAGAGTTCTATAGGGGCTTTATATGTTGGGGTTTATGGGTTTGGGGTGTTGTTGGGCTTCATACCGGCTCATAGGTTGCACTGGGTCAACAATTGAAGGTTTACGGCTTTTGCTCTGTATACGAAGCTTTGGGGTGATGGGGTTTAAGGATCAGGAAAGCTGACAATGGGTAGTTTACTCAACCATGGATTGCGAAGTTCCTACTTGATGGGTCCTCCCTGTCGGCATTGAGAGCGTGATCGCTGCGGCCTATGATGGCATCCACCTTTGTTACATGCAGTTTCAATCTTCGGAGTACCTCCGTAGCGCTTGTAACGGACCGGTCGGTCACGTGCTCTGCCATGCGGTTCTCCCAATCTACGGAGCATAGACATAATAGTCGGCTGTGATCTGCCGAGTTACCTGGCAACCTTGCATTCTCATCTTATTGCAGCTGAAACGATTACCGTGTCAAAACAGAAACCTTAAACCCCGTAGACCCTAAAGCTTCTCAAATCTTCAAGCCTTGAACCGCGGCAGCTCAACTCGTAAATCTACATGCATCTGATACCCATGCCTTAACCCCCATCAAGCTGTCACGCTAAATCCAAAGCCATATACTGTAAGTATTCATCATGATCATCAAGTCGCATCTTCCTGGGTTCTTGTTAAGGGACTTACTTTAAGTTATCATAATGAATAATGTCCGTATATGGTAACTTAAATTGAATCCCTTAACCAGAACCCAGCTTTTTCACTATAGATTCCTTTTATGGTAACTTAAACTGAAACCCTTAACCAGAACCCAGCTTCTTCTATTATTCATTATAGACCCCTTTTATGGTAGCTTAATTGAAACCCTGAACCAGAACCCTGCTTCCTCCCAGGAAACCCTAAACCCTAGGAAGGACGGTCGCTTAGACAGTCCGGAGCGGAACAAAGACAAGGACCGCGATCGACCAGGAGCGGCCACTCATGACTCGGGACTCCACAGGGTGGCCCAATATAGTGGCCTTAATAACTAGAATACTACTATTTGCTTAAGAACCCCCAAAAAATAAAAAATTATAATCCCTATATTATCCCTATAAGGAATATATTTTTGTTATTTTTTGGGGGTTCTTAAGCAAATAGTAGAATAGGCTTCCTTTAAATTTGCCTGTATAAGGGCTACTGTGAGGGGCTATTGTAAGGATTTAATATGGGGGCTTCAGCAATTGCCAATACTATTCTGAGGTTCCTTATTATTTGTATGGTATGGTGGGCCGCAAAACTTTATTGGAGTTGTTAAGGTCCCTGTATTAAATCCTAAACCTTAAACCCTAAGCTAGGGTTTAGGGCTCCGGGGCGCTGAGGCTGAACCCTTGATGTGCAAAGCTACAAAGCTAAGGAGAAATATATCGTCAACAAAAGCACAACCTAGGAGTGTTTGCTTCGAGCTATCAGGGTGTCAGTCTAAAGACGAGTACAGTTCTCCGGCACCCGGCGAGAAGACCTTAAACTACAAAACTTTCAAAGCCTAAGGGGCCAAGAGCCCTTGTGCATGAGGGGCTCTCCGTTCCCATGCAGGGTTTAGGGCATCAGGGTCTAGGCTTTAGGGGTTCGTTGAGGCTTCAGGGTTGGGGCTTAAGGTCTTCATCCGCATGGTTGATGTTCCATTTACTGCAGACCAGAAGAAAGCAAGCAATGAAAACACTCGACCCAGTTGTATTACACATGTATTTCGATTCGCCTCCGAGACTGCCATCCCTATTCAAGGCCCGAGTGAGTAGTTACCAACACCTACTCCTTAGGACCCCAGGAAAGCTAGATGGTAAAGTAGACCCCGAAGACATACTCCAACTAGTAAGACGCGTCTCTTATAGAATCCTCATAATGACCCTTCTAGAACCCTTTCAAGAACCCTCTCAAGGAAGCCTCTCTTAACGTCCCTACACTAGACCAAAAGGTGTCCTTGTTATGTGCTTTATAATACCTTGCCTCCAACAGTTTATAAAACCCTTCACAGGGATTCCATTCCCAAAGGGTCCAAGTATCATTATAGTATATACTTATAGGGTATTTTGGGGGTCTAAGTATATTCCATAATGATACTTGGACCCTTTGGGATTATACACATCAAGATCCTCATGTTTTCGCCTTTCCTGATCTCGGAGGCGGCCGCCACCGTAGCCGCTCGCGCTCCCGGTCGCGAAGGAAGAAAGACAAATCTCGATCCAAGCATGGGCCCCGAGGTTTTTTGTTTGAGAGTCTTTCCCAGTGATATGTATTGGGGGCTTGAATGAGGGTAACAAAACTAGGGTTCCTGTAAAGGGTTATGAAGTGTATTAGGTAATTCTATCAGTGTGGCTTCGAGTGTCCGACTATGTTTTTGATAGGATAGGTATGAAGCCTGAGTTGGCAGATTCCAGACAGAGCAGCTCAACTTACCCCGTGACTACGCCGAGCTACAGCTGTGGAAGGACTTCTATAAGGCACTAGAAGTTGTTTCAGTACTGTAGGTTGTGTGGGCGGTTTGAAACCAAGGAGCAGATTTTCGCACATACTGACAAGCCTTATATACATGCTTTTAATTGTGCTCCTGAATTATCAGGCGCTCTGGAACCGGGATTCTTTGAAGTGTTTTTGGGGCTGAAGGCTTAGATGCCAAGGGTCAACTACCTCATACTTATGTTCTCTGCCAAATGCCAAAGACCAACCAACATTACCACTATCCTGAGCCGTAGCACCGGACTCGTACTATAGGGGCTTAAATAATCACCTATACTATACTATGTTGGTGGTTCCTTATCATACCTATAGATAATCGCCCGCAAAACCCTATTTTAATTAGTAAGGCTCCTACATTAGGTACTTTGGGCCCTTCGGGCAAGTCACTGGGCTTTGGAGTACCATACTTTAATATGTTTATCAGAGAGAGCCATTCTGAAATATCAGTCTGTACGGTTTTCTCCTTGGTTACTTCAAAGCCCACAAGTCAGGGATTGAGCGCAGACTTTCAGGAAGAAGGCTCCGGAGGCTTCCAGAGTGTTCTGCGACGTGTCGCAGGGTCGGGTGGAGGATCCAGTGCTGGATGATTCTGCTATGTGGGAGTTTCCTAAACTGGGGGACGATAGTACCCTAAATAGTAGGATGCTGGTTATAAGGATCCCAAAATTTAGGATCCCAAAATAAGGTGCCCCTAATTTTCGGAAACTCCCATGTATATATTGGTACTAGTACAAGTTGTATAGAGGGTCCAAGTGCTAGCTTAAACCGAATACGCATACCTTAAATCCTGACCCGGACTTTCGTTTCTCAGTCTCAAACCTGACCCTTGAGGTTACAAGTTGTGCAAAATCATGTTCGTTTCGTTCATAAAAAAATCTATAGTCAAAGTCAAAAACATACTATCATACATACATACATCGACATGTGCATGTACATGTGTATATATATACACTATATATACACTATATATATACACACATATACAAAATATATATATGTATAATATATATATATATATATATATATATATATATATATATATATAATATATATAATATATATATATATATATATATATATATCCTGCCCTGAATTTCTCCTTGCCCTGCACCCTGCAAGCCTGGCAACATTAAGCCCCGAAACCCCTAAACCCTGATCCCCTCAATGCCGGCCCGGCTGAGGTCTCGGAAGAAGGGGCGGTCAAGATCCAGATCACGATCGAGATCGTGACCCTAAGGTGGCTGTGCTAGCTTCCTTGAAGACGGCCTTGGGAACGTTCAAGCAGGCTTTGAAGTTTCGATTCGATTTCATTGCATGTTAAGAACTTGGGATGTAGAATCTAGAGTGCAAGGTTGAGCGCCCCAAAGCCCCCAGTGTTTTCCGGAAGCGGTGTCCCTTGTGCCCTTGGGGACGTTCATTCTCAGAGACCACGCAAAAGACCGAACCCTCCACATCCCTAAATCCCCAAAACCTCAATCCTAAATTCCTACACCCCCCTTATCCCCAAACCCTAAGACATCCTAAATTTCGAAAAACCCGACCTCTTCGCACCAGGTTTCCGCCAGAGATCGGGGCGCCGGTTCAATGAGCGTTCGGCATTACCTATAGTCTCCATTGAAGTTCCTTTCTGGGGTTACCTTATTGATCCTAACTGCACACAGTAAAAGAATGGAACTACAATGGAGACTACAGGTACATAGACTCCGCTACCTCTACGGTGCCGGAAGTCTTTGATGTTAATTGGCCCAGTGTGTACGAAAACAAAGCCTACCTTCTTAGGTTTCGTAGTATGACTTCCTTTTCTTGAGTCCCTAAACAGGCAGGTTTCCGTGGGTTTGGGTTAAGGAAGGCCTCGATGACGTTTTACATTTTTCCTTGTTGGTCACCGTGGGATCTTGTTTACTAAGCTTTGTTCAGCCTTTTTAAAGGGCCAACCTTGTCCAGGTTGTAGGACTTGCCGACTTCTAAGGATATGATGTGTGGGAGCACAGAGGGCATGAAGGTACATGATACAATGCACTACACCTGCTAAGCCCGATGTATCCAAGACTCTGAGTTCAAGCCCTGCATGAACCGTTATAAATCCTACGGACCCGAACTGGTCATTCCAAGCGCTAAGTCCCGAACCGACCAGCCAAGACGTTAAAGGCCTAAGCCTAGGTAGGAAGCCCCGTTCACCGAATGCTAAATCTTAGGGGTAAAATAATTTTTGAATTTTGGTTATTATAATCCCTAAGAAACAGCTAAAAATACAATTTTTGCTAGGGTTCTAAGTTCAGTATAGTATGTGGGGTCCGGAAGTTCTGGGTGAAGTCCTGAAGCCCAGGTACCTACCTGGACATTCCAGGTACCCTTTAATACAGCCCTTATGGCCCTGAAGAGTGGGTAGCTAGGGTGTAATAGAGGGTAGTTGGGAGGTGCTGGTATCACTTCGGGTTTGTGTCCGGTTCCTTCATTTCTGAAGCCCCCGCATCTATAAGTCCTGTAACCCAAAGCGTGAAGTTTCGTTGGAGTTCACGGTCGGGTGTCCATGTAGGGCTTGAGGTGTAGGATCCAGCGAGGCTTTGGGTTTAGAGGTCTACATTGCGTGTCAGGACCCTAAGCCCTAAGCCCCCTAAAGGATAACGCCATGAAGCTGAAACACATCATGTGTCGACAGGATGCGTGGAACCTCGTAAAGACTAGCCAAAAGGCTCGCTAGAAGTAAGAAATCTCATAGCTATGCGTTCACATTTAAGGCCTTTTTAAGGTTTTATCAGGTGTGATAAAATGATGGCTCCAACAAGGTCTCTTTCGAGTTTTACAAAACGGGCTTCTAGAACTTAGAGGCCCAGGGGACTTAGTAAGTCGATTATAAGTAGGGTTATAATTGGGGTAACTCCATGTAGGGTACTTATAACTTATAACCCTACTTATAACCTACTTACTAAGTCCCCTGGGCCTCTAAGTAACCCTAATCCCCCTTATAGAACTATTAACAATCCCTTTCAAGGAGCCCTTTTACGGAACCCCTACTTACGAAGTCCCCTGGGCCTCTAAGAAGGGCTTTAGGGTGAAGGGAGCACAACCCGGTTCACCCGACATCAGACCACCCAGACTGCAGCAAAACAGTGCGGCCTCATGATTTCCGTTGCAGGGTTCAGGGTTTACAGTAGAAGCCAAAAAGTTGGAAACCCCAGAGCCTCCATCCGTAAGAGTAATGTATAGGGAATGCCAGCACTATTTGGCCCTAATCGAGTTTCCAACTTTATGGGGTTTACTGTAGGGTTATGAAAGGGGCCTTAGCCCTTTTCTGGGTCACGCTTGAAGGAAAGTCTTCGAATAGCTTCCTCTAAATACGGATACCCTACAGAATGATGGAGCCCATCCTTTCTGAAGTGTATGACAGTCACAGACAGTTGCAGGTAAACCCCTCTAAAACCCTGACAGGGCCCTACACCCTACACCCTAAACCCCATAGCAATGCAGAAGCCATCCGAATGTAGAAGCCTGCGACAGTACATACTCAACAAATTCTTAGGGTTCTTTATCATGATACTATAATGATTCTGTCTGTCAGACCTCACTTTCGCTATTATGGGCCCGTTCTCGTCGCCTTTTTGAACCTTTTGGAGGGCCGTGGCAAGGGAACCCTATTCGAACTAGTAAGGCCCCTTTACGCTGGGCCCTAAGCTGCTAGCCGCTCTTTTGACAACCCTACGAGGGCCCAGTAACGGGCCTGTAAGAACCCTCACAACCCTATAAGCCGTAAAAAGCCTAAACCCCAAAAGTAGATCATAGAACCCTTTCATGGACACTTCTTAGCCTTATGTTAACTACCACGACGCCTATAAGTTTTCAGATCCCCAAGCCCTAATTATTAATCCAAACCCTATAAGCCTAAACTCCTGTATAACAACCATAGTAGCATTAGGGTTTTTTGTTCATACAAAACCCAAGAGAATATTAGCAGTGTATTTTTAATTATGGTCCTAAGGATGGTATAGACTAACCCTTTAAAGGAACCCTTATAGTACCCTTATAGTAACCCTTTAAAGGAACCCTTTGAGGGACTCGATGAACCCATAACAGCCCCTACACCCGGAACAGACCAACTTCTCCAGTATCCTTGGGAGCTAGCCTTTGGGAATATATGGGATCTATAAGGGTACCTTAAGGGGATCCTTTAAGGGTTCCTATAAGGGATCTATAGGGTTTAAGGTTTAGGGAGTTTCCAAAAATTCGGGGGGCACCTTACCTTGGGGGTCCTTATAAACAAGGATCCTACGATTTAGGGTACCATGTTTTGGGTCTCCTATTTTACTTTCGGAAACCCCCCCATAAAGGGAACTCCAGAAAGTTGGAATATGGTTTCAGGGTAGGATACCCTATAATTTACCATAGAAGGGTTAGGATAATACTATTCCAACTTTCTGGCTTTTACCTTATTGGGATTCAAAACGGTTAACCGTTAGCAACTTAGAGCCCCAGGGGACTTAGTGATCTAGGTAGGGCTTTGGGACATTTTGTGTTTCCCCTTATTGGGCCAAAGAGGATCTTATTTACTAATATCTTTCAAAGGCTTTAAAAGCCCCACCTAGTGATAATTGGGCTAACTCCACATAAGGTACTTCTAACTCTCGTTATAACCTACTTGCTAAGTCCACTGTGTCTCTAAGTACCTACTGCCTCCGTTTGCTCTAAACCCTAAACCCCTAAGCCCTAAACCCTTAAGCCGCTAAACCCTAAGGCCTTAAACCCTAAGCCCTAAACGCTTACTACAAGCGGCAGAGGAAGTTCCTCGAGGCTGCCTCAAAGTATTGCGACCTCTCTCAGCAGCGCCCTGGCAGCTGTTGTTTTGGCTAAGGCTCCAAGTGCCCATATGGGAGTCTCCGAAAACTCAGGACCCTAATATTATAGCCTAATAGTAGGATCCTTAGTTTAAGGACCCCAAAATAAGGTACGCCGAATTTGCGGAAACTCCCATATGGTAGGTGCTTAGTTAGGGACTTGGCACTATACCATAAACTATAATTACACCCTGGTTGTCACGATTTAGGGTTTGGGGTCTGTGGGTTTAGGGTTTACCTATACGTCCTAAAACCCGCAAAACCCGAAGCCCTCTGGGACTATGCGAGTTTCCGAACATTAGGGGTACCTTAGCTACTATTTGCTTAAGAACCCCCAAAAAAATAAAAAAATCACCCCTTATGGGGGTAATATAGGGATTATTATTTTATTTTTTGGGGGTTTCTTAAGCAAATAGTAGTTAGTATGGGGGCCTTGTAGTAAGGATCCTACTTCTCGGGTGCTATATCAGGGTCCCCTACTTTCGGAACCTTCCATGTGTTCTTGTTCTCAGGTATTTTCGGTCATTATAGGATTTCAGACCCAGGGTGCTACGGTTGATGATAGAAATCCGGCATTACCTTAAGGGCCCTAAACTATGGGATTTATCGTATATTCCTTATTATGGGTAATGCAGGATTCATATCATCAACCGTAGTAGTGCCTTGCAAGGGGAAGCGTTTACGGCTGACAGTTGAGGGTTTGGAGGCTGTAGGGTTTAGGGAAGTTTAGGGTCTACGATTAGCTGCGAAATCAGTATGCCAGCACTGTTTCGAACAATACCCAATCCCATGACGCTACGAATATGCAAAGTTTTGCCTTTTCTCACTGTTCGCCAAGACGCGCGACACTTTTGGCTAACTGGCACGTAGCGATGAACGCTTATTAACTCCGACACATAACCTACTCCCGCGACAGGTTACTTACGCAGATTTAATCATAAAGGTTGCATCTATAGACTGGGCCGTCAAGATCGTCATCCTAACACAGACACAAGGGGCATCGCTTCGTAGACATAAAATTACATTCCAGTAAGCGTACCAAGAGATGGCACTGTTGCCCTGTTTACTGCAAGGCCATTGGGACATTTTTTGTTTTTGCATCATTGGTTTAAAGTGGTCTACCATCAGCAAGAGTTCAGGGCGACTTGCAACTTCTGTAGGGTCTCTATTAGGGCTTCGATGTATTCGAGAACTCTCATTCGGTATGAACTTACACGGCTGCAGGATGAATAAAGGCATTCAGATGTTTTGCGGTGTGTCGTGATGGTTTCTGGGTGCATTATTCGGGGTTGGGGCAGCAGATGTACTTTAAACGCCGCTTGGGGCTATGGGTTTAGGGTTTAGGGTTTAAGGTTTAGGGTTTAGGGTCAAAGGTTGAGGGTTTAGGATGTAGCGGCTGAA